GAAAAAGAAGAAGAAGAAAAGAAAAGAAAAAAGAAGAAGAAGAAGAAAAAGAAGAGAGAAAAAGAAGAAAAAGAAGAAGAAAAGAAGAAGAAAAAGGGAAAAGAAAAAGAAGAAAAAAAGAAGAAAAAAAAAAAAAAAGGGAAGAAAAGAAGAAGAAGAAGAAGGAAGAAAAGAAAAAAGGGAAGAAGAAGAAGAAAAAGAAGAAAAAGAGAAGAAGAAGAAAAAAAGGGAAAAAAAGAGAAAAAGAAGAAGAAGAAGAAAAAAGAAGAAAGAAGAAAAAGAAGAAGAAAAAGAAAAAAAGAAGAAGAAAAAAAGAAAAGAAGAAGAAAAAAGAAGAAAAAAAAGAAAAAGAAGAAGAGAAAAAGAAGAAAAAGAAGAAAAAGAAGAAAAGAAGAAAAAAGAAAAAGAAGAAGAAGAAAAAGAAGAAAAGAAAAAAAAGAAAAAAGAAAAGAAGAAGAAGAAAAAGAAGAAGAAAAAAGAAGAAAGAAGAAAAGAAAAAGAAAAAGAAGAAGAAGAAGAAGAAGAAAAGAAAAGAAAAAAGAAAAAGGGAAGAAGAAAAAAGAAAAAGAAGAAGAAGAAGAAGAAGAAGAAAAGAAGAAGAAAAAAGAAAAGAAGAGAAAAGAAAAAAGAAAAAGAAGAAGAAAAGAAAAAGAAGAAGAAAAGAAGAAGAAAAGAAGAAGAAAAGAAGAAAAGAGAAGAAAAAAAGAAAAAAGAAAGAAAAAAGAAAAAAGAAAAGAAAAGAAGAAGAAGAAGAAAAAAGAAGAAAAAAGAAAGAAGAGAAAAAAGAAGAAGAAAAGAAGAAGAAGAAGAAGAAGAAGAAAAAAGAAAGAAAAAGAAGAAGAAGAAAGAAGAAGAAAAAGAAAAAGAAGAAGAAGAAAAAGAAAAGAAAAGAAAAAAGGAAAGAAGAAAAGAAGAAAAAGAAGAAAGAAGAAAAGAAGAAAAAGAAGAAGAAGAAAAAAGAAGAAAAAAAGAAGAAGAAAAAGAAGAAGAGAAAAAAAGAAGAAGAAGAAAAAGAAGAAGAAAAAGGGAAAAGAAGAAGAAAAAAAAAAAAGAAAAGAAGAGAAGAAGAGAAAAAAGAAAAAGAGAAAAGAAGAAGAGAAGAAGAAGAAAAAGAAGAAGAAGAAAAAGAAGAAAAGAGAAAAAAAGAAAAAGAAAAAAAAAGAATAAAAAAAGAAAAGAAGAAAAAAAGAAGAAGAAAAAAAAGGAAGAAGAGAAGAAAAAAAAGAAAAAGAAAAAAAGGAAAAAGAAGAAAGAAGAAAAGAAAAGAGAAAGAAGAAGAAGAAGAAGAAAAAGAAAAAAGAAGAAAAAGAAGAAGAAGAAGAAGAAGAAGAAAAAGAAGAAAGAAGAAGAAAAAGGAAAAAAGGAAAGAAGAAGAAAAGAAAAAGGAAGAAAAGGGGGAAAAAAAACAAGGGGAAAGAAAAGAAGAAGAGAAAAAAGAAGAAGAAAAAAAGAAGAAGAAGAAGAAGAAGAAGAGAAGAAAAAAGAAGAAGAAGAAAAGAAAAGAAGAAAAGAAAGAAGAAGAAGAAAAAGAAAGAAGAAGAAAAAAGAAAAAAAGAAGAAAAGAGAAAAAGGGAAAGGGAAAAAAGAAGAAGAAAAGAAGAAGAAAAAGAAGAGAAGAAGAAAAGAAGGAAAAGAAGAAGAAGAAGAAGAAGAAGAAGAAGAAGAAGAAAACAAAGGGAAAAGAAGAAGAAGAAGAAGAAAAAGAAAAGAAAAAAGAAGAAGAATAAAAAGGAAAAAGAAGAAAAGAAGAAAAAGAAGAAAAGAAGAAAAAGAAAAGAAGAAAAAGAAGAAGAAGAAGAAAAGAAAAAAGAAGAAGAAAAGAAGAAGAAGAAAAGAAGAAAAGAAGAAAAAAGAAGAAGAAGAAGAAGAAAAAGAAGAAAAAGAAGAAAAGGGAAAAAGAAGAAGAAGAAAAAGAAGAAAAAAGAAAAAGAAAAGGAAAAAGGGAAGAAGAAAAGAAGAAGAAGAAGAAAAAAGAAAAGAAAGAAGAAGAAGAAAAAGGGAAAGAAAAAAGAAGAAAAAAAGGGAAAAGAAGAAAAGAAGAAGAAGAAGAAAAAAAAGGGGGAAAAGAAAAAAGAAGAAAAAAGGAAAAAGAAGAAGAAGAAAAGAAAAAAAAAAGGGAAGAGAAAAGAAGAAAAGAAAGAAGAAGAAGAAAAGAAGAAGAAAAAGAAGAAGAAAAGAAGAAGAAGAAGAAAAAGAAAAGAAGAAGAAGAAAAAGAAAAAAGAAGAAAAAAGAAAGAAGAAGAAAGAAAAAAGAAGAAGAAAAAGAGAAAAAAAGAAGAAAGAAGAAGAAAAAAAGGGAAGAAAAAGGGGAAGAAAAGAAAAAAGAAGGGGGAAAAAAAAAGAGAAGAAAAGAAGAAAAAAGAAGAAGAGAAAAAACGAAGAAGAAGAAGAAGAAGAAGAAAAAAAGGAAGAAAAAAGAAAAGAAAAAGAAGAAGAAGAAGAAGGAAGAAGAAGAAACAAAAAGGGAAGAAGAAAAAGAAAGAAGAAGAAGAAAAAGAAAAAGAAGAAGAAAAGAAGAAGAAAGAAAAAGAAAAGAAGAAAAAGAAAAGAAAAAAAAGAAGAAAAAGAAAAGAAAAGAAAAAGAAAAAAAGAAAAAAGAAGAAAAAGAAGAAAAAGGGAAAAGAAGAAGAAGAAGAAAAGAAGAAAGAAAAAAAGAAAAAGAAGAAGAAGAAAAGAAAAAGAAAAAGAAAAGAAGAAAGAAAAAGAGAAGAAGAAGAAAAAAGAAAAGAAGAAAAAAAAGAGAAGAAGAATAAGAAAAAGAAAAAAAGAAGAAAAAGAAAAGAAGAAGAAGAAAAAGGAAGAAGAGAAGAAGAAGAAAAGAAGAAAAAAGAAAAGAAAAAAAGAAGAAAAGAAGAAGAGAAGAAGAAGAAGAAGAAGAAAAAAGAAAAAGAAGAAAAAAAGGGAAAGAAGAAAAAGAAAAAGGAAGAAAAAGAAGAAAAAAGAAAAGAGAAGAAGAAGAAGAAAAAAGAAAAAGAAAGAAGAAAAGAAGAAAAAAGGAAGAAGAAGAAGAAGAAAAGAAGAAGAAGAAAAAAGAGAAGAAGAAAAGAAAAAAGAAGAAAAAGAAGAAGAAAAAAGAAGGAAGAAAAAGGGAAGAAGAAAGAAGAAGAAGAAGAAGAAAAAAAAAAGAAAAGAAAAAAGAAGAAAAAAAAAGAAAAGAAGAAAAAGAAGAAAAAAAGAAGAAAAAGAAAAAGAAAAGAAAAAAGAAAAAAGAAGAAGAAGAAGAGATTCTGAGAGAAATTTGGCTTTTCTGTCTACCTTCGGGCGTGAACCCGGACTTCTAGGAGTTCGTCACCCGGTCGCCGCGAAGCCAGGTTTAACCAACTACGCTAGCGAGCTGGGCGTGACAGGGGGTTACATGTTGATCCCATAAAAAATTAACACAAGATCGCTTCCTGTGATAAAAAGACGGCTACCGTGGTAAGGACCACATCACCCATTAAGTACGGATTGTTATACAATTAGAGAGAACACACTAGGTGTCCCTGTGACATTATATATGCTCTCTTGCTTGCTCAAATCAGAAGAAAAACATAAGAACATTAGGTGGTAAAATAGGTAAAATATATCGCCACAATCACCGTCACACACAAAGTGATGTCATGTTTAAACGTTCTTTAAAGGGAAGAGGGTTGACTTTAATGAGCTGCGATTTATTCCACATGGCTCGGTCTCGTCGTGTGCTAATCCGTCGAGAGGGTCGAGAACTTACTAACTCCTGTCACAAACTAAACAACTACACAAAAGAACCGAAGGATGAAACTAGAAATCGAAATAAAGCTCTTCGGAACTCAAGACAAAAGGCTTAACCACGTTTCCATGCAGACACCCATAAAGATGCGAAGAAGTGTACAAAACAGCACTAATAGGACACACAAGTGCGAAGTCATATGCTGTATGATTATGTTTGCATATAGCCTCACAACCGAAGATTCAAAATAAATTTGACTGTCACAGAAAAACAGAAGAGACAGTCAGTAACCATGGAAATGCAATGTAGGAGAAAAGCTGTAGTAGTCGCCAGAAGAGGTAAAGTCAGAAATGAAGTCACAAGTGAGATAGCTGGCCCCGAACTGAAATACTAAATAGCAGTAGTAGCCAACAGTTGAAGACCGCCTAGTAAATAGGGGATTTTTTTTTTTTTTTATAATGTTACAGAGTATTGCATCCACTGCTATTTTAGGGTCCACTAAAGGCAATCACTGCACTCATTGCTCTGCACTGAAATAACATTTGATACTAAAAAGTTAAAGAGGATCGACTTCATGGCACCAGGTTTTGTACCATATGGCTTGGTCTCTTTCTGCAAAACGGCTAGCTGACTGCCGAAATTGTCGCACGTAGCACGCATTCTGGAGCTCCGGCGACGATCCCTATGGATCTCGGTAAAAATTGAACTCTTGATCTGAATGGCTCAGCCTTGAAATAAACCCACAACCTTCAGAGCGTCAGACAAACGGCTTGACCACTTCGCCACTAAGATTTGATACGATATTCAGTGATAGTGTAAGAATATAAATTATTTGCTGGATGGTCATAAACGTTTAGTCCCATTGTACATAGAAAGAAAGCTTAAAAAAATTGTTGGTTTGCCACCTTAGAGAGAATGCCCTAAGCTGTTGTACTATACAAGGCATATACTAAAGGATGAGCGACACACAGAGCCTGCGGCTGACCAAGGCCACAGGGGGAAAGATAACATGGGAGACACTCAACAGTATGAAGTGTTAGTAGTCAAGCCAGATGGAAGAGCAAGAACAAGAAGATTGTATCTATTTCGACACACGAAGCTGTAAAAGTAAATGTGAAGAAGATTAAGGCACATCTCTTAAGCATGCTAGATTTTAATTTAAAACAACAAAGATTCATCTTGTCGATGTTATGGAGTGAGCGCTAAGTAAATACCAGCTAGCGACTATACATGTTTGCCTAAACATACACCAAATTCTCCCAGTGATCCATGCGTCGCCGTGTGAAAACATCCCTGTAACCAAATTTTGACGATGCCTGGGCCCAGCAATTCGGCCAGTATGACAGGTAACAGAGAGATCGGACACGTGGATGCTGCTCTAGAAAAGCTTGGTCCCTTTCGGAGATACACGTTAGTACAGTTCTCTATCAACATCCTGTCGCAGCTTGCTGTGGCAACTCACATGCTCAGCATTGTGTTCACGGGTAAGTGATGGCTGCTCTTTGTGTGTTCATAATCTACACGAGGGAAATGACAGTAGATTGTTTTGTAAAGACCTATTTACTTATATTAGTATCTTAACATTCCACTGAATTGTAAGCTATGTGTCCGGTCTCTAGTGCTGCCATTGCCACACACAAAAATGCCATTAGTGACTGTATTACCACTTGTGCGGTGAAACCAGGGGGTCTTTGAGGCCGTTTGGCTAGTGCTGTTGCCACCGGCTGGGCAGGTTAGGATTTTTTTTCCTGTCAGAAGAAAATCCCCAATCTTACCGAGGATTCGAACCTGGGTCTACAGCACATGAATCCAGCATTCTTAACCGTTCGACTAGCCTTTCCTCGCTCTGTTCAAATCATCTATCATATCAGGAATCCATTCGCTTTGAGGTCTTTATTTTTTTCCTGGAAATCCCCCATCTATGATTATATTCTCCTGACCTTCCTGCCTTATTGCATATTCTTACTTTTTCATTTGCTTTATTTTTACCTATTTTATTTTTCGTGAATTATGAGTTTTTAATGGGTAGATAACTCTCCTTACTTTACCGTCCAATACATTACGAGTCCTCTTATTAATTTCTTTTTAAAGGCTCGTGTGTGATTTTCAGCTGCCTAGACGAATGTTTGAGATTCACATCTGTTTATTGCTATAGAAAGAAGATGACGATATACTGGGTATATTAGGAAAAGAAGCGAGCAGAGAATCACCAAGCAGCCATAGCAATGAGCGTAGACAAATGGTCTTAGGAAACGAGGATGTCAAAGACAGACACTAAAACGAACGTTGATGAAAGAGATCAAAGGTGCTTGACTGGATTTCACCCATCATGTCGAACGGATTGCGATTAACATAATGAAATGAAGAGTAATATGCAAGTCCTGTGTGACAGGTAAAGCACAACATGATGATGATGATGGTACATAAGCATTAAACACCACGGATATTGTTTTGTTGCCTTAACCTTTCAAAGATTATAACTGCTTTAGTTTTTTGCGATCTGCTGATAAGTGCCAAATTATTTAGAAGCTGTGGAGACAGAAAATGGGCAAGGAGCTAAATGTCCACAGCCCAACCATCCATAGACGTTCTCTTTTTTAGTATTTGTTTATGTGTGTCATAGTATTTCAAACTGATTATTATATGCATTTGCCATTTAGCACATCATAACAATAACTATTAATGCGCACTGAAAGAAGGCTAAAAAACACACACACACACACCACCAAGCAAATTATAAGTGAGCTAAGCATGCCACCTGTGTCTATACTCAGATATCGCATATAAGTCACCATGACTGTACGTTGTTACAGGTCAAAAGAACCCATTTCGATGTCCAGGACTAAGAAACAACTATTCTGCTAGTTTTACCAACAACAATGTTTCAGTTTACGATAGCTTGTGCTACTCTCTGCATTCTACTGAGGGTAACGGAACTGTAGTCTTCAACACTTGGGAATGCACAAGTCAAGACGTGGAGTATGAACTCCCCAAAAATCATTACTTTGTCTCTGAAGTAAGTTGATATTCTTAGAATACTATATACCTCATAAAATACGTGAGTTTATATATATATATATATATATATATATATATATATATATATATATATATATATATTATATAATGCAGTGTGTATCAAACTGTGATTTATATAGTGATCCATTTAATCAGCTGATTATCGATTAGTTGTTTTCAATAAAACGTCATTTAACACGTGAGTCGTGATGCAGCTGTGGATAGAACGATTATCAACTGACCGAGCGGTCATTTCTTCACATCTGTTTTGATGAGATAAAGTTGTGTGTGTTTTTTATTTCATTGGCCTAAGGGCCTAAGCTAACAGAAGCATCCAGAGAAAATACGTACAAGAATCTAGAAAGTGAGAGTGGCCTTCGTGATACTGGCCACGTCAACTCCATCGTGTCATTTGGTCTAACTTTGAAGCTAGTACCATATATACTGCAGTCTGAATATCCTTTATTTTGAAAAGGGATAATTTATTGTTATCTCTACAAGCATTTAAAAAAGCACCTACTTAATAACACTATCTTAACCAGGTGCAACAGAAAACACCACCAGAAACAATTCACTACACTTCATCTCGTGAACACCACTTAACTATTAAACTCTTTCGAAAACAGCTCACATTGGCTCTAGCACTGAAGATTACTTCATACTGTCATCACTAATTAAAAATATTCCTAATTCGACCTTTGAAATTGCAGCAAAATTTCTGCTCTCCAGTTTGATCTTGTATGTGAACGTGAGGTTTTGGCCGGACTCACACAGACTTTGCTCACCTTGGGACATGCAGTTGGCTCACTGGTGTTTCCATACTTTGCTGACAACTACGGGAGGAAGCCCATCATCTTGATATGTTCCATTCTGTGGCTGGCGTCATCCATTGCGCTAGCCTTTTCTGTCAGCTATACCATGCTGGCTATTTGCAAAACGTTGGTTGGAGTGTTCTTGCAGGTAGACAAATATATACATCATACATATGTATGTGTATCATTCGAGTTTGTAAACATTTGTTCTTCTACCCGTTATCTTTAACTCGGCTAAGACCGGTTCTAAGCCCGGCTGTAAATGGAGGAGGGTCTGGCTGAACCTGAGAGCTTCGTACGTCTTCAGAAGTAGTGGGGTAACCGTGAATCAGCCAGACGGCTTGCATGGAGACCGCGAGGAGGCAGGCAGCCCCTCCACCATGCAAAGGCTCAACAGGCGAGTCACCTGTTTTGCCTTAAACTACGATTACAAGTTACCGCAGAGAGAAAACCGGACAAATCCTAAAGTCGACCCGTTATCCTCGATTGAAGCATTGGCGCTTAATCAACTCTCGCTAAGTCGTCCCATCTTTTACCATTCCCAGTTGTTTAGCATATGACACCACAACATCTAGCATGAGAATGGAGGTGGAGGCAGTAACTGCAGATCTCTGATGGCTAGAAAACAAGATGCATAGACATTTCGTAATTGTAACAAACTCTGAAAGCATGCTTTAAAAAAGGTGAAGACAGGGATGCTTCGAGCAGAGTGGCAGCTTCACTGGAAAGACCACGGGTAGTGAGCATACTTTGGATCTTTTCTTCTGGTAATGCCGGTGTGGTGGGTAATGAACAGGCAGACAAATTGGCTGGATCCGCACCACTGGGTGGTTAACTGATGCATGACAAGGCAGATGTGGTCAAGGCCCTTTGGGAACAAGCAACGGAATCAGTAGAGAAAGAAGATTATTATGGCCTGGAGAGAATGCGGCACCTGGGTTTTACCAGATTGTCTGGCCCGCTCACTACACTCAGAGGAAAGGCAAGACGGACATATAACCAGATTGTGACCGGTACCATCAGTATTGGAACTCTGCGCTGGCTGCTGAAGATGAGTACGGAGCATGCATGGGAATGCCCCGAGTGCTGTGATGTCAATTCTTGACTCAATCAACTAAAAATTACTCATAAAATTACTTTTGCAGACTTAATCGTCTTGGCTCAGAAAAGCATACCAGTATATCAGTGTTAAAATTAATTACCATGTCTACCAGAATATTCAATCTTGTCTGCCAGGTTTTTGTTTTGTTTGTTTGCTCTATAGGGAGTGGCACAAACTTCGGTGACGGTGATGATGGAAATTCTAACAAGCGGTCAACGAGGCCATATGTTTGGGTCATTGGCTTTCATATTCTGGACAACAAGCATAATATTGATGATCCCTGTGGCCTACCTGCTGAAAGATTACTCCTGGAGAGTCCTGGAGCTTGCCTACTGTAGCTACTTCATTTACATTTTTCTTCTTTTGTAAGAATACATTTTCAGTTGTTGATATATATATATATATATATATATATATATATATATATATATATATATATATATATATATATATATATATATATAATTAACCATCTGAGATCGAGTGGATAATGATACTATAAGATAGATTGTAGAGACATCACCTTGTACTCTATTAATCGAGAAACAGCAGAGACGGTTGGGCCGTCTCGTTAGAATGTAGCAACATCAAATACCATCACAGACCCTAAGGAAGATCAACAACACAAGCAAGAGTACGCCCACGAAAATATAGATCAACACCACTTATTTACACTTTACGCCTTCACGGTATGTCAATAGCCAGTATCAGCTAACGTGCACTGAATTGCAATTAATTTCTTTTAACCATACCTAATGGCTGAAGTGGTTGATGGTGATGATGATGATGATGGCAATGATGATAGTGATGTTGATAATGAGGATGACTCACACAAAGGACTATGAATCACTGCAGTTTCTTCTTCGTGCTGTTTGCTCAATTAAATTTAAAACTGTTGCAGGGGCTAGCGCATTTGTTGGTACCCACATGTCGTGCATTCTGGTTCCTAGATTCATACATCAGCCATCGTACACTGTATGCCAGAACATGTTCTGGGGAGTAACAACAGCCAGACGTGATACTTGCTATATACCTGACTTTTTTCTTTGAAGCTTCTTTATCTTTGTCTACAGTATCGTTACTTTTATCATTCAGTTAGACTGAAGATAGGAAACATTATTATGTCAACCGGTTTTTCTGGTAATTGATGTAGTAACTGGTATGACATATTAGGTTTAGGCTTAGGTTTAAGTTTAGTCGAAGGATCAACATCATGGCACAAGGATAGTAACTCATAAGTGCTCAGTTCTACTTCTAACTCAAACCTAAGTCCGAAGAATCTCAGCGCTCTGCACGAATTTTCGTAGCACGAGCGAGAATCCTGAAATTCTTTGAATAGATTGTAAACTTCAAATTTTGCACGGGCAGCGCCGTTAGACTACTTTTTTTTCGATTTCCAACTGCCAATGGATTTTGTTTTTAATGCGCAGCAATTAACACGGGCGTCCGATCTTATTACCCAGCGACCAGGGGAAATTGCTAAATTCCACATGAAAAACTCCCAGCCTTCACCGTGGCTTGAACCCGGGACCTCCAGCACTCGAGACGGACGCTATGCCTCGACACCATGCAGCCCCCCGCCCCCCCCCCCCCCTTTTTTTCCCCTTTCCTTCCTCGTATGACACATAATTGTGTGTGCTCAATCCCCTACTAGTCTTTCTTTCCTGGACAATTCCATGAGAATATTAAGAAAATATCAGGTGGCCTGTTTATGAAATTAGTCTAGAGTCATACCGATTGGATTCAGTCCGGTCACTTATAGAAATGGAATTCAGACCACTGTACCAGTAGGCCATGTAGATGGTACAGGGTACAGTCTTCTTCGCTTGCGGGTTCAAGGCTCCAGCTTTGCCGTGATGGGTGGGTGATGGAGGACGTGGAGGGGGCAGATTCACTGCTCCTTAAGAAACATGCCGTAGAGGGCGACTAATGTTGCTGAAATTGAATATGGTGAACAAAATGGTGCCGGTATCGCAGCCTAGATATAAATCACAATACATCGTTTTGGTTTCTTAGAGCAAAAGAAGAAGTACAACAACGAAAACAACATTAAGGTGTAAGGGTAGGAGTAGGTGCAATATGTAATACGAAGACATACAATTGAGATCAGACAAACAAATGACACCTGCAACTAACTAACTCTATTGTCCAACCATTCAGGTTACTAGACGAGCCACTACGGTGGCTGGCAGCAAATGGCCTGACAGAACGAGTAATGGACGTGTTAAAACGAGCAGCCAAATGGAACGGCTCCAATCTGGATGATGTTCTTTCTGCCTTTTACACGGTATTCTGTATAGTGTTATGATTTAACTACAATCTTCATGGAATTAGACGGACGTCATCATTATGTTACATGTTGATAGTAGTAGGTGGTCACAGTTTCTCAGACGAATGCCAAAATCAAGAATCGGGTAATTGTTCTTGACAGTGCAAGTAAAGTGGCCATGCTACTCTGTTAGAGTTAAGGTCGAGAGAATGGACTCCATTACACCGGGATTTATCTCATATGGTTCAGTATCTCTCTACAGAACGGATAGCCTCCTGCCGAGAACGCCGCACAGAGCACACACTCCGTAGCTCCGGCAACGATCCCCAGGGTTCTCCGTAAAACTTACACCCGGAGCGAGAGGCAAACGGCTTAACTATATCGCCACGGAGACCCACCCTGTATTTATCTCCTTAAATTCTTCAGCGTTATTCAGAGTATCGTTTTCAAATTATTGAATAACTATGTAAATATTACAACTGTAACATTTATCTGGTCTTGTATTCACTGACACCAAGCTGTTTCTAAATTAACAGCATACAAGTATGTAGTCAATTAAGTTCGGAAAATTATGTCTTGGCCTTCTGTGTGTCACACGGCGTCTAGCATGTTGCTGGATATTTCTTTCCAGTTATCGAACTTTGGTATTATTTATACTAATCCTTCTCGGCGGGTTAGAAGTTAGTGAATGCTTTGAACAATTTCGTTATCCTCAAGCACTAATGTGTTTTGTACACGTTTTTTGTGATTTTTCAGTGGTACGAGAACCGCGATTTGGAAGAGATTGAAACTTCACCGCTTAGTTTTCCCAAAAGACAGCAGTGATACACTGTAGTCAGCGTTGATTATGTAGATGGAATACACTTTAAACAAAATTAATCCATATTCTGACCTAACAAAAGTGACAAGAGTTTTGTTTTTGCCTCTATTTACCACTGACCCTGACAAATTGTTTCATGGGTTCTAGATGTTCTTTTTTAATGACACGAGGCCAAATTGTTTTGCAAAATTGCTGAACAATTTCTTCTCATGTCTAAACTGGAACATACCTCGGGTTTCAATTATTTTCTTTATTTGTTTGTATTGTTAATAGCTTAAACTCTACCAAACAATTACAGCTTTCTACAGACATCTTTCTGTGTATCATTTTACAAGTATTTTCACACTTGACCGTATTTTCTATATTCTATCTCTTTTTTTAATATGCTTCATCAATTCCATTTTATTTTTTATTGTGTTTGTGTTTGCGCGTGCGTGCTCACTCGCTCGCGTGTGTATGTGTGTATGTATGTATTAGGTGTGTATGTATAGACAGGTAGACAGACAGACACACAAACAGACAAGCAGGTCGACAGGCAGTCTAACAGACATACAGACAGACAGAGAAAGGACGCAAATCTATGTAAACGCTACGCAGTGGTATGTTTGTAGTTGTGTTTTACCTTTTACAACAGTATATCCATCTACATGTACATTCTTTGTTTTATTTTTGTAATTATTCAGAAAAAAATGTATTTTCAGGGCTATGAGAATACAAAGTCACTTGACGACAAAGAAGTATTGAAAATATTTGACATTAAGGTGCCAGTCGATAAAACATTGGAGAAAAATAAGGAGAATACTACATCCTGTTGTGAGGATACAGAAACAAAAGGCGATCCTGGGAAAGAAGAAGTTGCTGTCTATGAACATTTAAACTGCTTGAGTCTAGTCCAAAATAAGTTTCTGAGAAACTTCACACTGTTTTCCATGACGGCTTGGTAAGTTGTGTACTATAGTTTTACTGTATTTAAAACAATGGAGAGATATGCTTTTGCGTAGAATATATGAACATAAAAAAGCTAAGAGTCCCAATTGCTATGGCACCAGTAACTGTCTGATTGTACATCCGTCTCATCCTTTCCCTGAGTGTTGAGCGTCAGCCAGATCCCCTGGTAACTCCTCGCAGCACCATTCTCATCAGACCGTAATGATTCATCTGCTGTTCACTCGTTCCTAAAAAGCCCCCCCCCCCCCCCCCCCCCACAATATCTAGCTTGTCATCAATTCACCACCAAGTGCTGCAGAGCCGGCCAGACTATAGTTTTAAAAGAATTGCACTGTTTCAAAGCTAACTTTTTACTCATTATAATATTGATCTATATATCCATGTTTGCTGCTGATGTACATGACTGTTAACATTATTGTCATCACTTTACCCTTATGCCGTTAAAGGACATGAGGAGGAACAATTTGCGATCCACTACTCAACTGGTCGACGTCTTCAAGTAAATTGCTTTTTTACTGAAGTGTGCAAGTCTAATTATCGATGCTAGAACACGTCATAAATGTTTGTATTTTCCAGGTTTTTCAACAGTTTAACATACTACGCCCTGCTGCTGATGTCGTCAACACTCTCAGGAAGCTTATACTTAAACTATTTTCTCAACTGTGTAGTGGAAATTCCTTCAGCTATACTAATCTACTTTTTTATTGACAGGTATGTACAACCGTGTTTTATTAGTCTTATTCGATGAGGCAGTTTGAAAACATGAATATATTGTCTTTAAACTTAATACATGTGAATTTCAGTTTAACACTCTCTGATCAGTAACGGTAGGTATGTAGTTGTACCACACCAGGACATCACACAAGCGACAACTGGTTAGTACCGCCCCAAACTGGATCAGATTCTTTCCGTGTTTTTAAAGAACTTGCTGTTGATCAATACATTTTCTACTTCTACATACTGAGAATACAATAAATATATGGCCGCTTTGAAAATGATGCACTAATGCGTTTGTGATACACTGTGTTTATTGCTTCTCTTCCGGGTCTGAGGAGAAATCGGATGGGACTCAAAAAGCTAACAAAGAGTTTTTGCAGATTATTTTAGTGTTTTAGTCCGTGAGTGTGTATTATTTTAAAACATAAGAGCTGATTTTACTTTTTTGTCACCATAGTAACAAATTATTACCCTATCCTGACACCCTACATTAATAATAACAAATGAAACGTCGCTTGGTCGTGAATTCTCTAATTTGAATCATCGAATTATGATAAACAACTCTCTCTCTCTCTCTCTTTCTCTCTCTCTCTCTCTCTCTCTCTCTCTCTCTCATCTCTCTTCCTCTCTCTTTCTCTCCCTCTCCTCTGCCTCTCACCCATGGCCAAATCAAAGACTGAAACACTGGTTTTATTTTCATCAATATCTGATGCCCAGCTGATTAAACTTTCCCACGCATCTTCCCTGTCTTCCTGTGCTTCTCTAGCCTAGTGTTGTTTTTTTTACACTAGAGTCCGTTACAACAACGGTAAAGTGTGAGGGGAAGAGGTGGGAGTGGATCAAGAGAAAAAAGATGTTGCACAGTTTTCCATAATGACATGGAAGAACATCTGTACCAGAAGTGTTGAACAGTGCACGAGAAAGACATCTGTGAAAAGATGTGATTATCAACTCCTCGCAGCATGGGTTAAATTAAGAAAAAAAAAGATATATCAAGTGAACAAAGAAGAGACTACTTCAAAAACTGAATTAATGGGCAACGGACTAAATAAAAGTAGTACTGTCAACCTTTAACTGAATACTCCACACTATATTAACACTGTCGTAGAATATGTAAGACAACTAGTACTGTGACAACGAGAACGTTGTGAGAAAGAATAGACAATCGAGGAAGTAACAGGAAAAAAAAACGTAATTGTTTCACCTATGATCTTCTGTGTGTGGTACATGTGCAGTTGTGTCTCATGTACTGTAAAGAGTATTCTATTAGACTTTGCCATGCAATGCTGTTTAAGAATGTAATAACACTGTCGTAGAATAGGTAAGACAACTAATACTGTGACAACGAGAACGTTGTGAGAAAGAATAGACAATCGAAGACGTAACAGAAAAAAAACGTTATTGTTTTACCTGCAGTTGTGTCTCATGTAATGTAAAGAGTATTCTATTAGACTTTGCCATGCCATGCTGTTTAAGAATGTACATTTCACTTAACGAATTTGTTATGATATTTTTGAATAATGTCTATCTAGGTGGGGCAGGAAGATATGTTTTGCAGCGTATAGTATCATAGCAGGTACTACATTAGTGGCAGCAGCCGTTGTAACAACGCTGTTTGGTGAGTGTGTGGAAGTAAACATTTATGTAAATATGCATTGCATCTAACAGAATCACAGTATCTTGTTTGTGGTAACAAATGATATAATACTTTTGCCTGCTCATCGCATTTGGTTCTTTAAAAACAAAATCTGCGCTGCGTGGTTGAAAAGATTATATTTGAAAATCTGTTGATAATCTCTTGACAGTTTGAAGACACATCAAAGTAAAAGTTTTAATTTTATTTGTGAGAAGGTTTAGTACAACATGCATTGTCTGTCTGTGTATCTCTCTTGAATCTTTTCCATTTGAAAACGTCCTCTGTAAAACAGATGTGCCGCACCACTTAAAACTGGAACAGTCTAGACTTTCATGGAGCTCACAGCCTGGCTAACCCACAAGAAACAGGACAATAAAACCTTTCTTTTCTATAAATATGCAAAATATGCAAAAACATGTCGTTTGAAAAGGAGTATTACGTTATTAAAACAAAATCGATTGCAAAAACTGTGATGATATCTCCATTGTTAAAAAATATCTAATGGCGTTGTAGCTGAGAGGTCACTGTATCCTCGTCATGCAAGAAGTTACAACGTTTTAATTAGCATAGAGTAAATATATTTTTCAAGAATGGATGTAAGCTAGCAGGAAAGGGGGGAAAAGAAAAACAATTAAGGAGGCGCGAAATGAAATGTGGTTAGGACAAAAAGTAGTTCCCCACTGAACTGCAAAAACTGGAAAAGTGAAGACAAGACAAGGGTTTCTTTAGTACAGGAACTATGGCATATTTTCATGACTCAATCCATAATTATGTTAATTATACAACAACAACTGAAACATATAATTATGTAGGCAACACCTAGTCAGACCACGCACGCGAACTACAAGTAGTATTCTGAATCAAATAAATGGAAACAAATCATCACATTGAACATCTGTTTATTTTCCTGAACACAAAACTAGTGTGCTTCGCAGATAACAAAACATTAACAGTCAACACCGTGTTCGAACAGACCATGTGCTAATCACTTTAGCTGTCAAAGATGCGAGTTCGCATCCAGCGACCTGCAATCACAAATGTACAATGGAAATACAGATCTAACACAATCTATATTTTGAACGTACCATCGTAAAACGAAACAGTGAATCAGTTCATCTCTCTTCTCAGTCCCCTAAACTTACGTTGCAGTAGAGCCCTGTACGGTCCAGTAAGGCCAAGTCAGACTACATGTTTCTCGTCTTACCGCTGTCGACCCAAGAGCCAATACGCAAACAAAGCCTGTTCTTGGCTTGTCATGTTTTGCGAAAAAAAAAATCGTCAGGTTAAACTAGTACCCTCCCAAGGAGTTAGCTTTTGGTTATAATTGTGACAAGGTTATGTGCGCCGGATAAAAAGGATATTAGCATTGCACGCCACCTAGAAGGCTTGAGAAGGACTGTTGCAGTGGTGATGCGATAAAAAGAGACAGACCCAAATACTGTACCGACGGGCAAAACAGCCGTGTTACAGTTGGTTGTTCACAAATCACTTGGGTGTCTTGAGCATGAAATTAGATAGGTAAAATCATTATATAATCTACCTGAATAGCCAAAAAGTACAATTTGCACGAACAGCCAGCACGGTGACTGAATATGTTTGTGGTAAACGAAAATTTCGGGCTGAGAACCGAAAAGCAGATAGAAAAGTAGTAGAGACAACTGTAATATTATGTGTGTGTAGTTTGATGTGACTCACTATCTTCCCCCTTTCGATTGCTACCTGAAGGCTGGACACCCTGGCCACTCACAGATTGACACCCTGGTTGATAATCCACCGAAGAAAATCCTATATTTCCTGTTCAAATCCTAGAAAGTGTAATAAGGCATCCTAACGGCTATACCAAGTTCCACTCTTCTGTACCACATTGTTCTGTGCTTATACTATATATATATATAAAATTATGCCCGGCTCTCTAGCGAAGTTGGTTAAACCTGACTTTCGCGGCGGCCGGGTGACGAACTCCTTGTGGTCCGGGTTCACTCCCGGGGGTAGGCAGAAAAGCCACATTTCTCCCAGATTAACGGTACCTATAATGGAATCATTGCCGAAGGGTTGCGATATTCATAGTACCGAGCCAAAGGGTTTACAACTCATGGTTTCTGGATATGTTTAAAAAATATATATATAAAATTATCATATACTGATAATATTATTTTGCTTGTGTCAACAATAACAACAAAAACTCCTAGTGATAAATGTCTATTTTATAATTTTTTTTTTTTGTTCGACATATAATTTTAATTGTATTCTTCCTTGAAGCATCGCAGGGCTCTCGGTGTTAGATAGTTTTTTTTTTTTTTTTGTACTTGTTATCACTCCTCTGTTTTCACAACTCTGCATGATCTTTTAACAGTTGACCAAATGGTGGTCATCAAAGTGCTGACAATTATGGGAAAATTTGGCATCTCTGGTTCCTTTGGTGTCATTTATACATTTACGCCTGAACTGTTTCCAACCAACGTACGGTAAGACTGATTTTTTTTTCAGCTAATAAAACTGTTCCTGTTAAGTCAATACAAAACGGCATTACCATTACCATTAGTCAAATAGCAAATTATAACAGAATCAGTTAGCAGTATACAAGTGACATAATTACTGTGTGTTGGCGTTAGACAGCGTGAAGTGCCCTACTGTCAACATAAGGTTAGGGTTTGGGTTAGGGTTTGGGTTAGTGTTAGGGTTTGGGTTAGTGTTAGGGGTAGGGTTTGGGTTAGTGTTAGGGGTAGGGTTTGGGTTAGAGTTAGGGGTAGGGTTTGGGTTAGTGTTAGGGGTAGGGTTTGGGTTAGTGTTAGGGGTAGGGTTTGGGTTAGTGTTAGGGGTAGGGTTTGGGTTAGTGTTAGGGGTAGGGTTTGGGTTAGTGTTAGGGGTAGGGTTTGGGTTAGTGTTAGGGGTAGGGTTTGGGTTAGTGTTAGGGGTAGGGTTTGGGTTGCTACTTTGAGTTTGTGCGAAGACGAGATGCGGCGACACTACCCGTAACCCTAACCCACACCCTAACCCTAACCGTAAACCTAACTCAAACCCTACCCCTAACCCAAACCCTAAACCTAACCCAAACCCTACCCCTAACCCAAACCGTAACCGTATGATTATAGCAGGGCAGTGCACGCTGTCTATCGCCAACACACAGTAATTATGTCGTTTGTTTCGTTTCCTCCTGTCCAGTCCGTAATTGCACTGCAGCAAGGGGACAGAACTCCGACTAACCGGCCGTCTACTGTTGTCTACCGGCCGTAGTTTAAAGGAGAGCCAAGATTTGAAATATACAAATTACTTAATTAATGCTTAATTAATTATCGAGTCAGATTTCTTTAGCACGTTTCGGGCAAATGTAAAATAAATACAAACACGTCATCAGCTGCTTGGTGCATATGCGGAAACGTTTCTTTTACTTGGTCACTTTCTTGGAAGCAAAGGAAGGTCAGGATAGGTATGCTTAGTGTAAACGGACATGCTTCGCTGCTGAAGTCACGGGTGAGGAGTTTGGATGTTTTCCCTGGAAACCGCCAGTGTACTGGGAAATAAACACGCAGACAGACTGGCTGGTCTTGGTGGAATATTAATGCATGTTAAGGCAGACGTGGTTAGGGCTTTGTAGGAGAATGTGCACAGTTCGGAGGAGCAATGGACTACCACAGTCTGGTGAGATTGATGCAGAGGGAAGTGACGAAGGGATCTGGCTGATACTCGACGCTCAGAAGAAAGACAAGGCCTACGTTTATTCAGAATGCTACTGGTACCATTGGTATTGGAACTTTCCGCTGGCTGCTGAAAATGGGGACAAAGTGCTTATGGGAATGCCCCGAGTGCTGTGATGTCAGTTCTTGAATCAAATCAACATTCTTGAAAGAAAAAGCTCACCAGTAAGAGATCTTACTTATTCAGATTTGGCACTAAATGCAATGCATTTACAGTCTTTCTTGTAACAGCATACGTATGTTAGTCGTGGTCTATCTCCAGTGATCAAGAAAGAAAATAGAGCCTTCATCTAAAATACTAAAGAAGATTATCAAAATACCACGGACCAAGAAAAAGAGAAATGTTGATATCTTAAAAGATCTGAACAGCAAAGGAAAACTGGCTAGTAAACAGCATCTCAAATAATGAAATACCATCTCAAATAATGAAATACCATCTCGTGAAATGAAATACTTTGGCCACATCAACCGCAACGGCGGATTAGAAAGAAACGTAGCAGAAGTCATGGCACCAGTAAAGAGAGGTATGGACGGACCAACGCGAAGATGGGCACATATAAGTGATACCTTCGGTAGGAAAGTGCACGAGACAGAAGATATGGCGAGAGACCGAGTTTCAGTGATGAGAGCGAGGTTCTTCTAAATACTTGCTACATGATGATCTGTGATTCGGCATATCATCATTATCATCGTCATCACCATCATCATAATTATGGCTATCTTTTTTTTATTGTTATTATATTTATTATGCATGTAAAGTAGGATTATTCCCGTTGAATCCCCTCCTCCGCCCCCTCCCCCTTTTTTTGCCTAAATAATGTGTAAGGCCAGAGTTGGGGAGCTGATCTCCACCCACTCTCCTCCATGTCTTCCTTGTGTCGGTGCTTTTTTGTACTGCCAGTCACTTTTGATATTATCCCCCCCCCCCCCCCAACCCTTCCCCACCCTTCTCCCTCACTGTAATACCAAACTGTATATCCCAACTTTCATGTTATCCCAAGGTTCTCAATCGCTAAAGTAGGAACTTTGCTGAACTGTCTCTTTTAAAATAGTCTGAATTACACTGTGAATAACTCACAATTAAAGCAGCTGGGAAAATGCGAAAAATAAAGCACCCAAATAAGCTAGTGTTTTGAGGAATGTTATTACAACAGCAAAACAACGGGAGTAATTGACAGAAGAAAAAAAAAATCGGGAGTGGGGAAACGAAATTTTAATTGGGAGAAGGAGTGATAACCTGTGGCTGCCAGGAGCACAATTTCCAGTGTGTAATTGTTATTATGTAGCCATGCTCTGTGTACAATGGTAAGTGGGTATAGTTACATTGGTCTCCCAACCGACCACCAATATACACACTAGCTCACTTCTGATTGGTCGCCCTCAAACCACGCGACCTATGGGTCACGTATACCGGGGTGTTCCGCAATGCCTTTGACATCGCGTGTTGCGTATTTCATCCTGTCAGAGATTTTAACACTCCGAAAACATCGACAACTAGGTCTAACCCACAACCTCTTTTGAGAGCGATGCAACCGACGTCAGAGGCAGTCACTTTCTCGGAATGAAAACGTAAATGCAACACAACAACACACCACCACACACATAACCTCGACCACGGTAGACTAGTCAAACAAACTTGTCAATGGAATTGACCTAATTTCCGTGGGGAGACCAGCGTTTCAATAACCGTGTAAGTTTTATGTATTTAATTTGTTGCAGGAATACTGGACTCGGATTAGCAAACGTGAGTGCTTGTATTGGTGGGATGCTGGCTCCCTTTTCTGGACTGCTGGTAATATTAGTGTGACAATGTCATAGCATCTATCTGGCTAGTTAGCTTTATAATTGCGTTATCATATTTGTGAACAGAGTGTTCAGTTTGGAACATATTTAGATCTTGTAGTATTTCAACCAATAATCCGTTCGTCTCCTGTAGGAAAGTTTGTTTTATTTTCTTTGAAACAAACTTCATAAAGTAGATCAGAAATATTTCAACTCGTAAGCATTGACATCTTTTAAAAGAAGTAGGTCACTTCCATTCTACAATTGCAGATAACCGGCTTGCCTCTGACGCTCTGAACGCTTTTTTTTTTTTTACAGCCGTGGTTTGCAGATTCAAATTCTACATTTCTAGACCTGGCGCTGAAAGGTTCTGTCGCCCAGCTACAAGGTTGATAGCTCGTGACTGTTGAGTTCATGGGGAATGGGGTTTTCTTTGTGTATTCGCGACAGCTTTGTGTTGTAAAATGTACTAAAAATAGTTGGTGGCCGATAACGTTCGGAATGGTGTGTGCTTGGGTCTTAATGAGTGTACAATACCAGCTTTCGTAACTCACAGCTTGCATCAAAGTAATCTGCAAGTTTTGTGTGGAACTGTTGGTAATGGCACATTTGACCGCTGCCTTATGTTTTTACTTTGCGTTTTGAATGTTTCTGAATATCAATGGTAGAATAATAAACAATCTGAGATATGCTGACAACACAGTGTTTCTAGCAGAAAGTGAGCAGGAGTTGCAAGATCTAGTGGAGCAAGTAAACAGAAGGAGTGCAGAATTTGGATTAGATATTAATTTGAAAAAGACAAAAACCATGATATTTAGCCAAAAAAAAATAATCAGCTAACAATGAATATCACAGTGAACGGGGTGAAATTGGAACAAGTTAAAATTTTCTTATATCTTGGACAAGTAATAACATGTGACGGCAGAAGTGAAACAGAAGTCATGAAAAGAATAGGGATGGCCAAAAACATTTTCAACAACAAGCAAATGTTACTGACATCAAGAGAAATAAGCAGCAATACATTAAAAAGGAGAATTGTCAAATGTTATGTATTCTCAACCTTACTGTATGGCACAGAGACATGGACAATGAACAAACAACTGGAAAATCGTATCAATTCTTTGGAGATGTGGATATACAGAAGATTAGGTCGTATTTCATGGAAACAAAAGCTATCAAATACAGAGGTACTGAGGAAATTGGGAATGAAAAGAGAGTTGCTAGGTGAAATAAAAAAGAGACAAGTGAAATATGTTGGTCACATTAAAAGACATAACAGTATTGTAAAGATTATCCTAGAGGGAAAGGTTCAAGGTAGGCGAGCAAGAGGCAGACAGCGTTACAAGTGGGAAAATAACATCAAGAGATGGACGCACAGCAGTATGAGCGAGTGTACATCAAGAGCAAGAGACAGGGCTTGTTGGAGATCCATTGAAGGCAACCTTCACTGTGGAGACGGCACCTGATTGAATGTTGAATTATGAATAGACATCATAGCACTCAGAAAACCCCATAAGCGCTCCGTCCCCATCTGCAGCATCAAACAGAGAGTTCTAATTCCGATGGCTTACTTTGCGTGTGCGAGCTTCAAGATTTCGGTGGAACCAACATGTTTTTCACTAGTGTTCAAATGGAACAATAAAGGACATTTTTGTGTGATTTCTCACTGGCACCGGACATAAGCAGTTATAGGACAACGCCTCTGCAGATGGAACCTCAAGTTAGGACAACACCTTTGCAGATGGAACCTCAAGTTAGGACAACCCCTGTGCAGTAAAGATGGAACCTCGAGTTACGACAACCCCTCTGCAGTAAAGATGAAACCTCGATTAACGACAAATAAAATTAGATACTGTTGGCATCTGTCCTTCTTTTCAGTAAAAACATATTGCACTAAGTGCCCACTGGCCTATATAAATATGATTCTAATTTCGTATGCTGGTTCTTTCGCAATAACCTTTCCCATATGACGTCTCAGGACAGTCCAAAATTTTAAAGGATGGTAAGACTGGGTTTCATGGCTTTCTGGTGCTTTTAAAGTCCCCAAAACATATAGAATTGGCCCTAACCAAAGCCCACCTACGTCCCACGAGAGAGTGTAGCCTAGGTCGTACGACTGCATGCCGCCTATTTACCATCTTCTGAAATATTAGGCTGTCCCGTGACCTGTGGATTTCCCCTGTTGGGGTGTCACATACCGCTCCTGTCACGTGCCTGATTTAAGGATTTCTCCTTAAGAACCAACAGCACTCTGAAATAATTATGTTGAGTCGTTGGCTCGTATTGGTCTAAGGGATATCCCGTGGCCAATATACGCTCAACTTATTTCAGGAGTAGGGCAACTCAAGCTTTGGCACTACAAAATATATAATATTCCTAGGCACACTTGGCTGGACACCTTGGATTAATGACACAGGTGGTCTGCAATACTGTCTTTCAGCCACTGGAACTCACACACATGTTCCTGATGAAGAATTCTTCGGGTTGATGACACAGAGGGCCTGCAAAACTGTCACTCAGCCACTGGAACTCACACACAAACTCCTGCCATGTTGATGTTCTGCCTACAATAGGTAGGGTTTTTGGGTGGGATTTGTGATAGGTATGGTATGGGATGGTGATTGCTGGTTATAGGTTGGTAATTGCTGGTTATGGACTGTGATTCGTCTGCCTGACTTCTAAGGAGATTTCATCCCAAGCTTAGGAAATCTTCCAATATAGAACTGGTACTTTGAATGCGCCAATTTTCTACATAGACTGTATACACGTCTTGTCTTTTAGGAATCAGACGACAGAATGCCGCTAAAATCTAAACTCGGCGTCTCTGGGAAAGAAGTCCCCTGTATTCATGCCCAAGGAGTAAACCGGCTTACAGGAATTTCTGAATTAAACACCAGAAATCTTCAACCTACAGTTGCAAGTTTGAAAATGAAGATTTATCATAGCAACTAGAGTGTCTAGAAGTGAATATTTTACCAGATGAAGGTATATATCAATATAAGGGACTATATACACCTCCGGACGGGTTTTAGTTTGAAATTTGACATGCCCGCTAAGGGGTGTCAGCATCACGACTCGTCATCACGACTCGTCCATCGTGTAGGGTTGGCTGCTCACTTCACGACATGGGGGTAGGATATTAAAAAAGCACCCCTATGCCCGATGTCCCACTAGCGTATAGGGTCGGTTACTTCCACTAACACAGTACTATATATATATATTTTTTATTTATTCATATGTGTGTGTGTGTGTGTGTGTGTTTGTGTGTGTGTGCTTTAGTGGATGAGAATTAGTTAAATTGTATTGGCCGACCACAAATGACGTCATGGGACAGAGCAATATTTTAGAGAGTGGTAAGAGCGGGTTTTCCAAATGAAAAAAAAAAATTATAAATGCCAAATTACAAAATTATACGCCTAATCTTCCACCCCCTAAAATATTGGGCTATCCTGTAACCTGTAGAATTTCCCTGTTTTTGGTAGGCTACTAAGAAGGAACCCAAGAATGTACTAAAGACGGACATGTCAATCACAACCATAGCTGCAGCCAGTATGACTAGGAAGACCAGCTCCCGTTACAAAAATCTCCCAAAATGTCACGATGGCATCGCATGTTGTAACATTTATCAGGTGCTCGAGTACGTTATATGTATATGCTTTTGTGTGTGTCTGTGTGCGCGCGCACGTATGGTCAGATATGACTGAACAAGCTTCAAAAACTGGACGACTTGCAGATTACACTGTAGCCAAATATAACTATGTTATAGTTTGAATTGGGTCTCTGGAATTACTTTACCTTTTTTTAAAGCATCTATGAGATGCTAATACCATAGCATGCAATTCTGGAAAACAAAAAAGGGTACGGGTGGGACGGGAGTGGGAGATAATTTTAATAAAGAAAATGTCTGAACTACCGTTTATATCAAATTCTTCCACAGATGAATCAAGCCACATATGCTCCGGGTGTGATATTCGGAATAGGCAGTTTAATTTTGAGTGCCTGGACATACTTTCTGCCAGAAACTGCCAGACGACAACTTCCACAGTCAATCGCTGATATCGAGGTGTGGTCACAGGAGGAAGAACAGCAGAAAAATCAGACTTGCCGAGATCCTGTCTAGTGGGGACAAGTTAATAAAGCTTTCGCTTAACAAAATTCTCATCATCGTATAACAAACTAATTTTATTGTAAAGTGAATAGTTTATTTATTTTACTGTTGTTGTTGTTATTATCCGCATTGTGCGTGTTATTTGTTACAACGTATAGGATGTGAAATAACGTGATTTATTAACATGATTTGCTAATGTGTGGTTTGTTAGTGTATGAATTGTGTTGGAGTATAACTGAGAAATTGAGAAAGATAATTCTTTTTTTTTTTAACTACATAAATCTAATCCTGATATATGGGAGAGAATCGTGGACAGTGAGTGGATTAGTGAAAAATTATTTAGAAATTGCGGAGATATGGATATAGACGGGGGGAGGGGGTGAGAATAACCTGGACAAATCAAAAGAGTAACCCCGGACACATAAAAAATAGTAATAAGAATGTCTTGAAACTGACTCGCGAAGAGAACTGATTGCCCACACTTGAAAGATACAATTTAAATTCTCTGGTCATGTGATGAGAAGGAGAAAACCGGAGTACATCGTGACAGTAAGAAAGTTTGAGGGGATAAGAGGCAGAGGGAGACCGAGAGAAAAGATATTGGACAGACTGACATCATGGCATGGAACCTGATTGAAAGTACACGAGACAGAAGGTTGTAGATGGACATGACTTTCAGCGCCACATAGCATGGACTTTAAGAAGAAGATAATATGATAGTCGAGTAGCGTTTAGCCTGCCCTTTTTAAACCCCCTTCTTCAGGCTCCTGCAAACCTAAATGAATATAAATATATTACAAACAATGAGTCAGTTGAATACATCGTGAAAAGATTCTTGACATCCTTTGGTCATAGCATGAAAGGGTGTCAACACACAAACTGATACACACAGCTGCAGATAACAGATTGTCGAGAGGCGTGACCGCCCACGCCAGTCGGCAAAGATGGTTACGCGATATGTGTTTTAGAAACCATTCTTCTTTGCGTTCACCGCCTGTGGCGGAAAGTCCTGATTGTCTGTTTACTTCCAGACTCCTCTTGTTCCACAACTTTGCGTGCACATCCATTTTACAGATCTGGTTTATTTGTTTGCAGATTGCTTGTTCCTCGCCTCTCAATAGGATGCATTCCGACAACAAAGAAAGCTCTCTCTCTCTCTCTCTCTCTCTCTCTCTCTCTCTCTCTCTCTCTCTCTCTCTCTCTCTCTCTCTCTCTCTCTCTCTCTCCAATTAGTCAGCTTTTACGACATGGTTGTTATGGGGCAGAATGTGTCTAGTTTGTTTTGGACATTCGATGGGGCCCCAGAACCCATAATGATATAAATGATTCACAGTTCAGTTCAAAACCATCAAAAGTCTCTAAAGTGGATATTTTTTTAAACCACACATACATACACACACAATAAACACAACACACACACACACACACACACACACACACACACACTAAACACAAGTTGACCAGTGTTTATATAATAGTCTAATAATATTGTGAGATACAGGATTGTTTTTAAAAAAAAATTACTAGGCAGTATAAAGTAAACACGTGTGATGATTATGTTTAATAAACCATAGCAGAAGCTTTGAACTAGCGAACCCTGTTCAGAAGAATCCTATATCAGCTGACCTGATGCATTCAAACGTGAACAGCGGAACGGGGAGTTTGTAAAACGTGAATAATTACTCTCTATTCACAGTCGCAAGGTCTTTCTTTACTGCTTTGGATTAATTTTACGTTCGTCTCCCCATTAGCACATCACCGGTTGTAGGTCAACTCCACTGATAAGTTGGTTGGACTAGTCTACCATGGTCGAGGTTATGGGTGTCGCAGTCTGTTGTTTTCTGGTATTTGCGGTTTTTTTTTTTACCAAGAAAGAGACGGCCGTGGACATAGGTCACTCTCTGGGGGGAGGGGGGGGTTGTGTGTTAGACCCAGAAGTGTTAAAAGCTCTGGCATTGGGAAATATACAACACGAGGTCTGTTACAGACCTCTGGGTGACCTTGATGGTCCGTGGCTCGTGAGTGGGCCTCTGACTATACCGTACACAGACTGAACCTAAACGCACACAGAACACACATGACAATCTGTAATGTAAATACAGATATTACAACGGACAGTTAACTTCCACCTTGGATGACCACCTGTTACCTGGAACACTGGCCGAGCGAGCTTTAATATTACTTGCTCTCCAGTCTGTTACCACAGACAATCCCAGGTGCGCTAACCACACGTCTGCTAGCGACGTTCTTGCACCTGGTTACTTGAGCTCACCAAGAAGTCAGCGCTTCTGTCGAGCGCAGGGTCAGCGAGACAATGCTAGCCATTAGCTCACACCACATGCATCTAACTGATTTACCTGATCAGAAATAAATGGACACTACTTACTTATTGTGAAACAAAACAACACCTTTATACCATTTAAATACACAGCACAAAAAGGCTATCCTGTTTAAACAGAACACTGTAAACAATATATGCAATCACTAAAGTAATAACCTAACTCTAACGTTCTATTTCTGTCTCCCTAACACGTCCTCGCGGTCGACAGGTCGAATCCCTGTGTTCCCTTCCCTCGTGACTTTTGATGATCAGACTCGTTCAGTTCGGGACCATTCAACAATCATGCCAGGGACTTGCTCGGAGAAGCGTTCACGCATACTTGCAGTCCTCAGTTTGTCTCTACTGAGCGGTCGTTTTAACTCCCAGCGTCAAGCACACAGAGTTTGACCTTTATGTTAACTCTGGTCACGAGTGACCACGGTGCACTGTCGTTATGAACTATTCTGTCCCATGACTGTACTCACCGGGTTCTGACACAGTATGAGCGCGATTGCGGAATATCCCCGTGACCTTGTGTGACAGTCGGATCGCTTGAGACCGACTGATCAGGAGTAAGCTGATAGGTCGTCCAATCAGAAGCGAGTTAGTGTGTAGCGGTGTGCTAATCGGAAGACAAGCGGAAAATTTACCCTGCTTTGTATATTCCTTATTGTCTAAAAAATAATATCCCTTTGCTTCACCTGGGGCTTAATGACTGAAAGCACATAAATGTCATTATAAAACATGAAAATGGTGAAGAGCCTAGAAAGTTCATGACAGTATTTTTTAAAGAAATTTGAAGTGCCGATCTTTCTTACTTAAGCGATAATGTTCATAGAGGAATATTGGCATAACGTGATGACACTGTGGTTTCTGTTATTCGCTTTCTTGTCTACAGTTTTCGGGGAGAAAATCCGATTATTGGGTCAGTACAAAATGGCAACTGTTCTTGATGTCAACGCCCATCTTTTCTCATAGAGCAAATAATCCAACAGGCACTATTATGCGTGTTCCTAACGAGAACAAAATTCCACTACCAAACTGCCATGGTTTGTCAAGCGATAATCCCTCAAATATACTGGACGCTATACTAGATTGCAAGTGTGGATTTGTTAACTCGGTGAGTTTGCCATCTGTGTCTCCTGTGTTGAACACAACCTGAAATTTGTGGAGTCAAAGAAGTAGAGGGCTGTTTACATTCTAAAACGTGTTGGCTTTGTTCGGCGTCTATGATAATTTATTTTTTTTTTGGATGGTTCTACTCATTGTTTGAATCTATTGACATCATCCTCAGGAACAGATTTTAGGGTCAATCGTCTAGCACACGATGGTCAGCACATTTTGATGGTGTAAATGCTCTGTATATGGGTTCCGAGAAAATGAAATATGCACCGCATTTTCTATCAGCCTCCCAGTGTGCGTTCCGGGTCCCATTGTGGGGAAATAAGAAAAATCAACCAGGCTGTACCAACAGGTTCATATTCCTCCAATTATAGAGCAGAGGCAGAAGCGCTTCTAGCGGCATGTTCTTTCCTGAATGGACAACAGCACAGCAAATATAGCAGAGTGGTCTTTCTGACCGATGCTATGTGAGTTCTACAAGCAATTGTTAACCCAAAAGACACTCAGTTTGTAGACTTGACGCAACAGCTGATTTGCTTAGGCTCTTCAGTAGAACAATCTGTACTGCAGTGGATTCCAGGTCATTGTGGCTTGGAAGGCAATGAAATAGCGGACAGATTGGCCAGAAGTGGCAGTGACATGGTACAACCAGATAGCGACTTAACCCACCAAGAGATGAAAACACTAATACAAGCTAGTATCCAAGAAAGGTGGCTGGATACCCACACCAGATTTTCTCCCCAAGACTCACTTCATCGCCTCTCTAGAGAGGGACAGTATATTATATTCAGACTAAGGACAGGGCACAACAGATTTCGTCAACATATGTTCAAAATTTTTGGTGTAGGAAATACGGAGACGTGTCCCTGCAGCGTGGCACCCGAAAATGCTGAGCATGTGCTCCAACACTGTCAACTGTATGCTGACAACAGAGACGCAATCTGGCCTGTTCCAACCACACTGAAGACAAAACTGTATGGTACACGAGAGGATATGGATTGCACGATAGCTTTCATAAAGGCTACCGGCCTCCTGATATAAGTTTTCTGACAGAAGGATCGAAGAAGAAGAAGAAGACTGCCTACCCAAGAGCATGTCGTAAGAGTCGACGAACTGGCAGTTCCTTTGAAGTCGGAGTGCATCTGCTTCAGAGGCAAAGAACCAAGAGTCAACATATAAGTAAGTCAGATCTGTAAAACGGATGTACACGCAACACTCAGATTCTGGAACCGGTCTGATGTTTAGAAGTGGACTAACAATCTGAATTTCCGTGGGAGTTTACAGTCAGTGAACGCGAAGAAAAAAAAAAGCAGCTAGTGAATACAAGGAGATGGGCAGCAAGGTTAAGCAAAATAGGGGGAGACCTAGAAACATTTTTCTCACAGTTCTTTGGAATAACATGCTAGACATAATTAATTTAAACCTGCACTGTCCTACAATCAAAGGACGTGAACATTCTTGTTGTCACGAATCTTTTTGTCTTTAAAAACCTGTTTCCAGGAAATTAGAGACGCATTTAGTTCATATGATTTCGAAGCCAGGAATATGTGTCCAGAAAAGATTTGAGGGAAGGGGGCGGGGGGGGGGGGCAGCAACGAAGTAGATATAAAAAACTATCAGCAGAGCTGCCAGTAAAACTTTCCAGTAAAACCAACGTTTTCAAGATGGAAACGTTCCTGCCTATTATGAACAGTCTAATATTTGAAGTGCAGAGACTTATTTGCATACTAAAAATCATTGTCCTGTCTTTGGTAAATTAGAAACTGTTGCTTCTGGTGCAATCAAGGGGGGGGGGGGAAGTGTCAACATCTGACTAATATGTATCACAATTACCAGAATTATGATGACCTTTTTTTCGAATCACTAATTTAATCTTAATCACTACATGCTCTTAATGAAAATAGTGAGACTCCTCCGGCACTCTACAGAAACGGAATTTTGGACAGTTTGAAATCCCCCCCCCCCCCCCCCCCCCCACCCACTCCTCCTCCTCCTTTCAGAATGTGAAATTTGGACTCAATGTTCATGTGCATGATCGTAACCAACTTTACTGGCAAAAATTTTCTTTCAAGACTAAAAACTTATCAAAAAATAGCTTCCTCGAACAACAGACAGCATCGTTTTATAAGACTTCATTCAAGTGCATGAAAAATGACACTTCAAACCAAAAATAAAGTAATTTTGTGAAAAGAAATGCTGCAAATACTTGTTATAATAGGAAGTTCGGGGTAATTTCATACTGAGCAATCTAATCCATGTTTATGTTTTGACAACAGTTTTTGTTTAAGGAAAAATAAAATAAATATTTTGTAATATTATTGACCATTTACATTTAATTACTTTTATTTGTTGTCGTAGGGACTCCGTTACACTGGTTTTTCAGGAAGGACAAAAACTACCGTTAAGACACCCGCGGATGACTCCAATGTTTGTATTTCTGCCTGTTTGTAATCTCTCCTCGATTTTCTTAGTCTGCCTCGTGGTCTACTCTCCTTGACTTTAGTTTGTGTGCACAATGCATTTTTGCAGCCATATACACAGTTTACATCTCCAGTCAACCCAGTCAGTTCTTCTTCATGTCAGTAATTACTGATTATTTAGGCAGATTAAGAATTTCGTTGTTGCTTTTCCCTCTCCATTAACCGATGTTTAACAGTTACAAATATGAAACCTAATGAAGGACAACACTAACATTGGGGTGAAGATTATTTAGCGGGTGACCATGCAGAAACTGTAATGGCACCAAGGGTTTTGCGGTCCTTGTTAGTTCTTGGGAATGACTGACGTCCAATCCCAACAGGACCGCACAACGAGCGATTAACACCCGGTGACAAAAATTGCAACCCTTCGGATGAGAATCACCCGGGTACTAGTCCTAGGACAGCCGGGGTGGGACTTGTGTTAGGGGTTCAGGGGATCTGTTACTTGCACACACCAGAACCCAATCTCCACTCCAAACCACAACAACCGGACATCACTACAACAAAAGAACGTCTAGAATCATAGTTAGGCTTCATCATTTCATCTACATCACTATCATATGTCTAGCCTCTGCTCTTATTACAGAAAGACAGCTATAAGATCGCTATCGTCATACGCGAATTATCTACACAATTTCGGATCTATCTAAACAAAAACTGCTTTTAGTACTTTTGGCAAAGTAAAACACTCAACATTTTAAAACTATAAACTTTGGTCTGAAAGGACGTTATGTAGTTGAGTACTATCTCGGTTCTCTAACTAGATACGAATGGCCAAAATAGAAGGATGCTGATTCTGTTGGGGGGTTGGGGGGGGGGGAGGGGGGTTGGAGGAAAAGGGGGCACAATGCTAAGGAAAATGAAACTGGCAGAAGATGACCAGCAAGGCAAAAACATAAGGAAACTAAGGACAGAAGACAACACTGGGACACAGGCAGAAACGAACGGTCTATTTATTAGGATAGGTACGCAAAGCCAGCAAGCTGGGGCCTGTACCACAATCTTAGCCACGCAAGTGGCGCAAATAAATCAGACCACAAATATAACTGGAGACTGCTTTGAATGTGGTCGACGTTTTTTTTTTTTTCAGTTACCTAGAATAGAATTGAAATTGTAGCCAGTGTGGCGGCTTTAAAATAACCACACACACATGCGCGCGCGTTTGCCCACGTACATACACTTACGCACACGCATACACTTTCACACGCCCACTCATTAAACTCCAATCCATACACACATACATATACTCATGCACACACCACAAACGCACTCATGACCATATGCACACTTAACACACACCACATTTTTGACTCCCAAACACTCACATGCGCACACTCGCAAACAACGCACATATACATATGCGCTTTTCTCCACACATACACACACTCCCACACGCACGCACACATGCACTCACACATATTCAAAACACACGTACAACCACACACACTACGCACATGAAATGAGACGGAGTTAATCCTCCGTGTTTGTCTCTTTATTTAAAAATAACCATGGGCGGAAATGACACATGCGCCCTCTGCTGGTAGAGTAGATATACCAAACAGGCAAAGATCACTTGGCGAAAATGGCTGCTGTGGCTCAACATTTCGAGGCTTTCAAAACACGACTTGATAAAGTCTTGCATGAAAAGAATAAAGTCACCGATTTTCTGGCAAAAATTGAACAGAAGACCGGAGTTAGACGTTTATACATTGTGATAGGTAAAAATTAACTAAAAAAAAAATGTAATGCATACTACTACTACTTGAACCTCAAACAAAGTAACCAAACACTTTACACTAGTCACTAGACACTAGCCTACAAAATAATGTATGGTTATGCTAGTACTTCTCAAACAGCTCTTTTCTCATGTTGGTTTAATATGTGACCTATATTTACAGTCATATTCTTTAAGTGACCGGTCTGCAGAAGACAGGAGGGATCCTTACAACTTGTGAAATTGATTTAGTTTTATTGAATGATGGTGATTTATAACACATAACAGAAATAGGCCATCCTCCTAATAACGGGCACATATTATGGCGGCCGCAAAAACACCCTAACAGGGCCTCAGTCACATGTCAATTGCACACTTCCGGCGACTTAATATGCAGACTTTCAGCGACTACCGCCACTGCCGAGCGTATTCCCCCACGCCGCTCACGCAGCATGGATTGGGGCTAAACTAGATCGCAGGGACTCATGAACAGCAGCTTCCGCATCTCCTGCAGCTTTGCTTGTGAGTCCCAGCCATCCAGTTTAGCCCCGATGCACGCCACATGAGCGGCATGGGGGAATACTCTCGGTGGTGGCGGTAGTCGCCGGAAGTTCGCAAATTACATGTAAATGAGGCCCTGTTTTTGGCCGCCATAATATGTTACCCGTTATTTGGAGGATAGCCCAGAAATAGATATTTTTTAAACGTCCTACTCCTACGGACGGTCCTCTGCTTTGATCTTTTGACACTTGGACTTCTGAATGATATTTACTTACTTACTACTGCTGGCTTCTAAATTCTTGTCATTACTTTAGAATGTAATGTACTTTCATTATGTAATATATACTATGTACATTTCTGATTTCACATTTTCAGATTGTCTATTCTGATTTTGCTTTTGTATTATTTTATCTGATATTTTAGCAAATATTGAAATTATTTCAAAAATAGAATAGGAAGGAAGAATTTAACTATTTTTTTATTTAAAAAAAAACCTGGTGGCAGTCTCACTATGCCACTTTGGTTCCTTGATAAGTTCTAGCACCATATGCCACTGCACCTTCTGGTGTGTACACAGGCTCTTTTCTATTTTTTAGAGTGATTGCTAATGCCAATAATGAACCCTACTTATATATACAAACCAGACATTTAGCAAGAGTTGCAAAGCATTCTCTGGCTATCCTTCGAATAATGGTCCCAAATTATCGAGGTAGTAAATATACACTAACAGGGCCTCAGTCACATGTAAATTGCGGACCTCTTCCGACTACTACACGGCATACAGGCAAGAGTATTTCCCACGACGCTACGAGTGGAGCAGGGCTAAACTAGATGGCTGCGACTCACGAGCAAATAAAATGGAGGAAGCTCCATGAGATGCAGTAGCCATCTAGTTTAGCCCCGCTCTGCGCGTAGTGGCGCAGGAGATGCTCTCAGCAGTGACTTCAACTCAGCGGAAGCTTTTTTTCGCGGTAAGTTGTGTAGTCGCCGGAAAAGGTCCACAATTTACATGTGACTGAGGCCCTGTTAGGGTAAATTTTCAGTCTCCATAATTTGGGACCATTATTTGGAGGATAGCCTATTCTCTTGTTTTCCTACAATTTAATGTCACATATAAAACTTATTATTTAATATCTGTGCATTTATTTTTATTTTATTTTTTTGCACATTGTGCCTGATGTATTGACGACAATATCACTAAAGGAATGCAGTTTAGGCTTGAAAAAACTGTTGAAAATATCTCTATGTATCAGTTAAACATTAATAAAGTTGTAAAATATGTCTCATTTCATGTAATTATTAATGCTTAACTTGAGTCTGATTTAAAAAAAAAAATTACTAGTCTTTGTTTTCTTGATATTAGATTAGAACAGTAACATGGAACTGTGAAAGTGTATATTGTTTATGAAACTCAAACCAAGATTAGTTTTCTCTCCCTAATTTAGTTGATGGATTTGAGTTTACTAACTATATTCACTGTAGCCTATGTGCATACTTCATTGTTTTATAGAATATCAAATATATTACATTACTTGTAGATAATGTCCACATGTGCGTTTCGGGATCCCATTTTGCACGTGGGGAGGGGGGTAGACCCAATACCCTCTTAACAAGTATGTCATAAAAGGTGACCAACTAGGGGTTTGCTGACATCGGATGTGTTGGGCCGAAATGTGCAGATATCTCAACCTGGCTGTAAACCACAACACAGTGTGCCAATGACCATTTCAAGGGTAAATGCAGAAGAAGAAGAATTACATAACATGTTAACCACACACTATCGTTTTCTTTGTGAGAGCGTATTAGGTTGAAAATATAAATTGAACAGGTGATGTTAATGTAAGTATTTCACTTCTGTTATTTTAGCATTGGTGGCGCTCCTTGCTGTGTATCTGATGATTGGTTATGGAGCTGACTTCCTTTGCAATTTTATTGGGTTTCTGTATCCAGCATATGCATCGTAAGTCGTCTTTGATTTCTTTTTCAACAGTTACAGTTTTGTAGGATGGGTTTTTAATTACTTGATTGATGAATGAATCAAGAGTTGACACCTCTGAACTCGGGACATTGCCACACATGCTTTATCTCCTTCCTCAATAGCCAACCAAGAATTTGATATGCTGTAGTCCCTGATTTAAAGTCAGTGTTTTCCCCTCAGTGTTGAAAATCTTCCTGACCCCTCTACTCACCACCCCCCCCCCCCCCCCCTTCCCCCCACCACCTCCCCCGCTGAATTAACTTGTCATTGTATGGAGACTGGGTCTGTTCTGTTGCACTGTCCACTTGATTCCTGAGAGCCTTTACCACTTACGCTTTATCATAACAAAGCTCACCACCCAGAAGAGCGGTAGCAGCCAGTCTATCAGCCTGTTCATTACTCAGCACACAGGAATATCCTGGACAGAAAATCCATGATATGCTACAGATCAAATGCTAGGTTTTGCATACACATTACATTATTTCAAGTTTTACAAATATTATGGCAATTGTTATTTGAGTATGTCAGAGCTTTATGTCAGAGTTACATTATTTCAAAGTTATTCCACGTTTATATGCATGCTATGATTATTACTACTTGAGTATTTTGAAGTGATGAAAATGCACACAGATATTTGGAGCAGATATTCTTCACGTTATAAATTTTGAAATAGACACTTTTATTTGAAAAATCAAATTCGGAAAAGGTGTTCATTGTTGTTGTATTGGGTTGAGTTGTTCACTCCCATATAATATGAGAATTTGGAACTGGTGATCACTTGGTTTGATCCCATCAAGGAAACAAAGCACTCATTCAGGCCATGCTTGTGAGCTCTCAGTTTCTGAATGAATGGCGTGGGTAGATTATCTACCATAACCATGATGATTACTTTTAGCTCTTGTGTTGTCTCATCGAATGCAAGCTTGAGTCCTGATTAGACTGCATACTTTTAGCTCTTTTGTTGTCTCACAGTATGCAAGCTTGAGTCCTGTTTAAACTGCATACTTTTAGCTATTTTTTTGTCTCATAGTATGCAAGCTTGAGTCCTGTTTAGACTGCATACTTTTAGCTCTTTTGTTGTCTTACAGTATGCAAGCTTGAGTCCTGTTTAGACTGCTTACTTTTAGCTCTTTTGTTGTCTCACAGTATGCAAGCTTGAGTCCTGTTTAGACTGCATACTTTTAGCTCTTTTGTTGTCTCACAGTATGCAAGCTTGAGTCCTGTTTAGACTGCACACTTATAGCTCTCTTGTTGTCTCATCGTATGCAAGCTTAAGTCTTGTTTAGACTGCTTCCTGTTGTAGACCAGTTTTGTTCCTCCCTTCATTTGCCATTTTGATTCTGCAGATGGTGCAAAATTAGGGATATAGAAAAGTCCTAGTTAGCATAGTTGGTTAGCATTTTTTGCCTCCCAGAAGCTTGTTAGAAGATGGGAAAACATCATGACCTAGATGTTTGCTAGTCTTAACAGTAGCCGATAACTTACCATGGTAGCCAGACTAAACTTTGCAATTATTATGAGTACTTCAATTAAAAGAATTTGAGAATTGGAAACATTATAATCAGTATTTACATGGTAACGAAAGTGCAGGCCTACTAACAAAAATGATAACAGTACTTCTTCACACCCGTAAAAAGGTGCCTGGCAGTTATATGAATATTTATACCATGTTTGCGATGATTTGTAATTTACAAAAATGGTTATGTAATTTATTTTGTAAATGTTGTCATTAACTGAAAATTACAAGAGGGGTTATCTAATTGTTTTCAGTGTGAAAGCAATAGAGAGTCATGACAAAGAAGATGATACCAAATGGTTGACCTACTGGGTTGTGTACAGTGTGTTCAGTCTATTGGAGTTCTTCTTTGATATCTTTCTGTTTTGGATTCCATTCTACTGGTTCCTGAAGGTAAGTGACCAGAAATCAGTTTGAAATTTGTAATATTTTGTTAGCCATAGCTTATGTAGATAAACAGGAATAGGATGTGTTTTTACAGTTTATCACTGGGTCGATTTTAGTGAATTGTGAATGGTAATGTTTTTATATGTGAAACTGCTTCTCCACAATTGTGGCCATCTCTGTTCCTTTTCCCTTTTCAGTTCATAGCCCAGAGTAAAACCAGCTTTTTATTGTACAGTTTAGTATGTCAGAATGGTGTCTGAACCTAATTTCAAGCCATACAACATTGACACAGTCTAACGCTCTATTGATCGTTCACCTGGTCATTCATTTCTTTTTTTACCTTGACAGGCACAGTGATTATTTGTATAGTTCTTCATTGGATATTTTGAGCCTTGTTGGCTTGTGAATTGGTGCCTTTGCTTACCAACAACATTGCTGATATGTGCTAGGAGAGCTTTGTCCAGCCTGAGAGTAAAAGCCGACTCCTAAGCTGTCTGGATGCAATGTACAGGCTAAGATGCCTTTTAGAGACCTTTAATCTTGCAAAATATTGAACACGTCCCACAGTATAGGAGATGAACCTTCTAATCTCTCAGCTACCAACATCTTGGTTACATTATATTTTTGCCGAACCTTTGTTAGCTCAGTGTTCAACCAACATGAATATTAAATAAGTAAAGTAAATGACTTTTTTTTTACGGCTGACCTTCAGCATATAGTGCTGAACCTATACTTTTATAGACCTATCAGCAGTCGATGTTTGATAAGGTCACCACTTAGTCAGCTGACTTTACAGGGCATTACCTGCTACCTGTTTCAGGCTGGATCAATCAAACCTGCAGACTAAAGTCAAGTTTGAAAAATGAAATTGTGTTGAGTACAGATTTGAACCCTAAATCTTTGGGCAGGCAGGCAGATTGAAGAATATACTTTAGCATTTTATTTGGAGGAAATATTAACAGGTAAAGGATCTTTATCCAATCCTGGAGACATATTAGTCATATAGGGCTAGTTCCCTATTTGTATACTCAGTAAGCATGTGACTGGTGAGTGGTCAATATTGTGCTGGCTGTCTTCACTTCTCAGAAGTCCAAATGGGGATTCCAACCTATCACAGCTTAACCAACAAGCAAAATGCCAGCCACTGTGCACTACGCCTCCCTGCTCTTTTGTTTTTAATTATAGCCTAATGGTATGGGTATCCTTTACAGGACGTTGCAGAACCAACCCCATCATATTTTTGCCTTTGTGGTTTTTCAAGGCAATTTTACGTCCAGTAGTTTGCCATTGCTTTTTAGACGGTCGGCATCTCAAAACCAGCGCAAAGCCCACAGTTAGGATCGAACTTGGCACTGCGGCATTGCAAAGCTCATTCACAATGCCTAAGCCACAGGCTGTGGTAGCCTGTGTTTTTGTCACTTAAGGTTAAACTGTGTTCTCCTCATCAACACATTGTAAAAATAATGTTTTTGGTCCGATTTGTATGTTATTGTTTGCATTTGAATCCTTTTCTCCGCCAGGATGTTTATTATTTATTCATGTTGACTTCTTCATTTGATGACAGTGTGCTTTCTTGGTCTGGTGTTTCCTGCCCATACCCTGGAATGGCTCACATCTGATTTACTACCGCTTTATCAGACCATTTATTCTTCGCCATAAGGACAAGATTGATGCAGCACTTGACGAGGCTAGTAACGTTGTTAATGAAGGTAAACTTTTAATACTAAAATCTATTAACCTCATTTACATAGCATTATGGTGACATAAAATTCTCCTTCCTATCTCCTGTCCGTTAAATATCTTATAGTTCCTATCTTGTCTTTGCTTCTGGGAAGTCTGACCTGGTAAATAAATGCCAGCAGAAGTCGGTTGTGTCCCCCGAAAAGTGCAAACATCGTAGCCATGTTGTAAACGGGCACAACTCATTTATATCTATGGATGAACAAAGAGGGAAAGGAATGCTTTATTACACGTCTCTGATTTGTTTTGTTTGCATTCACTGGTTGTAAACTCTGGTTGTACATCCAACTCTGGCTTTATTCCAAGAATTGAATTTTGCATGTGCATCTGTTTTACAGATCTGGCTTATTTGTTTGCAGTCAGTTGTTTCCTTGTTATTCAGTATGATAGACTGACTTTGAAGGAACCATCGGTGCTGCCTTTTGGATGACTGTTCAGTGGAAACATTGAGTAGGATCTTGACTTTTAGTGGGACTCTCAGTCGGCAGATGTTTGAAGCAGTGTTTGCCATTTAATAGGAGACATATTCCAGATGAGTTATCGATAGATGTTATAACCCATGTTTGGGTGTGGGCTGATGAGTACTAGAAGTTTTCTGGGTATTGCAGAAAGAGAGAAACGCACATCTTTCCCTTTAAAGGCATTTTTTTGTGTGATTTACATTTAGGCTGCCATTTATGTGCCTTTTTTCCAGCATATCACTTTTGCAATGATTCATTTCTTATTTTCATCATGTCTGGATCTCTGAACACTCACAGTCTACTATATTATAGTTATTCTGAGGCAGGTATCAGTTGCAGACAGTGAGCGCATTTCCTCTTTTTTTGTTCAATGTTCTTCATTCATGTCTGGTTGACAGATGTATGTTTCTATTATTCAGTGCCTCTCTTAATAAATACAATGAGTGCTATGAAAATAACTCCTAAAGATTGTTTCTTTCATTGATTATCTATATTATTAACAATCTTCAAAACTTGTGAGAATTATTTGTGTGTCAATTCTTGTGTCATTTATTTGTCCATACAGTTATAACAGTTCACTACTGTAAGAACAATCATGATTCCTACTGCCCATTATGTGTTTGAAAAAGCTTCTTTTTTTTTTTCAAGTGGCAATATCTTTATTTGAACTGTTATAATTTCATTATTTCTTGAGACCGATATTTTTAAGGACTTAATTTCTTTCAATTGCCGTAGCCCTTTCAGTATATTTTCCCCTTTAAAACAAAAAAATTCTTTTTGCGAACCAAAAGTACATTTCCTTTAAATGCAATTTACGATTGTTTGTGACACTGTTGATAGACAGGGCAGCAGCTTTCTTCTTCTTGTTCATCCTCAAAAAGGTGGTTGGTATGTTATGATCAGTGTACGGCTAGGCTACAATATCTTTGAGCAGATCCTTAATTGGTCACCTTTTACAACATGATTGGAGGGGGTGGGGGCGGATTAAATTCCCCCAACCAAAATGAGGCTCTGTGACCCCCACTGGAGAAGCAGTAGATATACTAACAGTTAGGGTATGTGTGGTTTATCCTTGTCTTTGCCTGGTTCTAAATTCTAGTACATGTTTGATTTGTAGTGTTTAATCTCAAACCAAGTGCAAAGGAAACAGTTGATCAGGGTGAGTTAGTTAGTTCATTAACTTTAAGGCACATCTTTGTTCTTTGTGCATTTCTGGCATACATTTTTGCCAAGTTGGATATTGAATTAATAATCCTCTTTTTTGTATATTCTTAACTTTAGAAGCGTTCTTGAGTTTTTATGTCGATTAATTTTTTAAACAATTTATAACAGTAAGTAATTCACTCTTGTTTTTTTTTTTATTTAGAAGACTTGTCATCATTCATTCATGCAAATTTCATTAAAAAGTTTGTCCAGATTATAATGTTTATGGGAAGGCTTAGTGCGCAAAACTCAGGTACCAAAAAAAAATCAGTTACACTTGTCATTGGGGGGGGGGGGGGGGGGGGGGGGGGGGGGGGGGGGGGGGGGTCTTAAATATTTCAGTTGAATTACAGTGGGCGTTTGCAAAAGGGAATATTGAATTAGGAATCGACCTAAAAGTAGTACTTGAGACAATCTAATAAGTGCTCCATTCCCATCTTCAGTAGCATTGCAGAGTTCTAATTCTGATTGCACCAATAGCAGTGTGATTGTATATCCATCTAGCCTTTTCCTTGTGTTTAACATTGGCCACATGCTCCGGTCACTCCTTGCAGCACCGTTTTCCACAGACAGTTGTGATCTCTTTGTGCCTCTGCACTGTTCACTGACTCTGGAAAGACCCTTACAACATCTAGCTTACCATGTGTCAATTCATCACTGAGAGGTACAGAACTAGCCATCTATCTACCTGTTAATTTCCCAAAACATCTGCGCTGGAGAAAATATCCAAATAATGCTATCCGGAACCTCTAAAGCTATGCTTGTCACTCTGCACTTTGCAAAATGGAGAATGACTGAAATCAAAATAACATGCTTTTTAAATGTTTACACTGAGAGGTATCTCATTCACATCTACACACTCGTCTTCATTGTCTGGTGCTGGTTGCCAGTTTATTTGTTGACATTTGTCTGTACTGGAATGTGAAATCAGCCATCCTGCATCTTTTCTGTGTGCCACTTTCTTTTTCTTCTTTCTCTTTAGTTTCTTTCATTTCAGTATCAGTAATAAAGCTAAGGAATGTGAAATAGAAATGTCAATGATGCTTTCTGTGTATCATGGCTAATCAAGTTTACTCAGGCCAAAATGTTGAAAATGGGGATCATCATGGGCCGAGCCCCAGCGTAGAAAGATCAGTTTTGACAGCAATCTTCAGGCCACTTGCTAAGCCTTTGGGCTTAGGCCGGTTGGAACCAAAACTTTGTAGGCAGAAAGAAATGGTTGTTACCTTACGGTTACCTTGGTGAAATATACCAAATATATATATGACTGTAGTGGAATTCTGTGTTTCATTTTCTAGGATTCAGCTATTTGCTTCATTTTAATCAATTGTTACTGTAGTATGCACCTGACGAGATACATAGAAAAATGCCAGGCAATAAATTATTTGTGTTTTCTTTGCTCAAATATAATGATGTATTTAAAGTGGTGCCACCACTATGGTTAGCGGACTGGCTTATGAAAAGAAATCTCTAGGGTTTGATCCCAGTAGTTACATTACAGTTTTCCCTACCACTCTGGGTCAGACAAGCCTCAGAAAGTGCTACCACAAATTTCTATGGGAAGGCAAAAGCAGCTGATGTGATTCAGACCATATCATTTCTCCTGTGTCATGAGACTTACCTCCATGTACCACCATGATGATAATATCTTGTAGCTACATACTTTGATCTACTAGATCAGTGGTCTCCAACCTTTTTCAGGTGGTGCCCCCTTTAGTATATTTTCGGCCAAACAGATCTTGTACTGACCAGATGGCCACATTACCTACAGTGATAGAGCAGAGCATTGAGTTGACCACTTGACATTGGATCCATAGACTATCAAAAAGCTTTTTGACATTGATAGGGAATCCCTCTACAAGTTAATGAAACACTATGGAATCCCACATAAAATTATTAACTTAGTTCAGGTAACATATGCAGACATGAAATATTGAGTTCTTTATGGGGAATACATTTGAAATAAAAGCAGTTGTACAACAGAAATATCTTTTGTGCCTCTCCTAATTTTACTGGCAATAGACTGGATTATGAGGGCAACAACTACTAACACCTGGCATAGAATTCAGTGGACCCCTACAAAACAGCTTGATAGTTTGGACTTCGCTGATGATATTTTCCGTCCCCACTCATAGAATCAGCTTGATGATCACAACAGATAGGTCTAAAAATCCATAAGAGAAATACAAAGATAGTGAGAATAAATCAGACAAATAGTAATGTGGTTCCTCTCAATGGTATCCCACGCCCAGATGTGGAGTCGTACACCTATTTGGGCAGTAATATAGATCAAGATGGGGGAATTGATAGAGATATTAAAATATGAATACAAAAGGCGAGATGAGCTTTAATAGCATTATAAAATTTGTGGAGTCAGAAGTAATTAGAATTAATACTAAACTTTCAGTTGTTAAATTTTATGTTAACACTACTTTTGTGTGAAGCAAAAACATGAACAACAAAGGTAATTACTAATAGACTACAAACATTCATTAACTGGTGCCTGTGCAGAATATAGGGAATTAAATGGTATGATGGAATCACTAATGTAGAGCATTTAGAAACTAAACAAGTTCCAGTGGACCCAGAGATGAAGAAAAGACGTTGGTGTTGTATAGGACACACATTGAGAAAACATGAGAACAGTAAAAATAGAATGTCTTTGCACTGGAACCCACAGGAGCTTAGAAATAAAGGAAGACTAAAAACGCATTTAAAAAGGTAGCTAAAGAGTGCAGTTAAAAGGTTGGGAGGCATGGAGAGTGCTGCACACAATAACAAAGGATAGAATGGGTTGGCTCAGGGCCTATGCTCCATTGGGGGTTAGAGGGCAGAAGGGGGAGGGGGGATGTCTGTTAAAAGAATGCTTAAGAAAAATGGTAAATTAAAAAAAAAAGTAAAGATCCCTATTCACACCTTTAGTCGCATTGGGCATATGGGCAGAGCGTCCCATATTTTTACAGACCAATCGGCACTGGATGGGTAATGTGGTCAGCATTATGCTGGCCGTCTTTACTTCCCCAGGACAGCCATCCTAGTACCCATTTAGGGCTGGGTCCACCTGCGACGCCCCATACTACGATAAAAATCCACGCAGCCCGCAGTGGGTTTCGATCGCGGTACGTTGAATTACAAGTCGGACTCGCAAGCCACGGGCGCCGCTCGGAATTAAGAAAAATGGAGTGGTAGAAAAACAAATAAAGCAATCCTCATGAGTCAGATAAAGTTGTAGACTTAGAATAGTTAGCAATGACGGTCTTTTGGGGACATGTTATGAGAAGTGGACTCAAGATCTTGGCAAACTTTGTCAAGATTTATGGAGAGAGAGAGAGCAAGCAGAAGAAAGACAAAGAGATCAATACCTTGATGGCTTGACAAGAACATTGACCTGCTTCTTGATTCTGGTGTAACATGACTACACTTACTGCATAGTGATGATAGTAATGAAATTAGATATGTTTGGCTGAAAGGCACAGGTATCACAGCCTGTCTGTAAACCACAGCACAATGCCTTTTAAGAACACAGAAAGAAAAACAAGATGAAAGCCTACCTTACACAATATGAGATGACTGCGAGACAAATTAGAAAAGGATAAAGATAATGACAATAAAGCAGGCATATAATATTCCACTCAGTGTAGATGAAACATCAGTTTAAGGAATGGTATGGTATATACATATTCATGTAGCAGTGTAGACATAGATGGAGGGACGTAGAGAAATATTAACATGACACTGCAAAAGGCGAGCCCTGCTTTCTGAGAATGCTGAGTTTCTGGAATAAAAAATTACATTTAGTACCAGAATAGTTTAATCACTATCATCACTGTGGAATGGATCATAAACACAGAGAATGACAAAAACTATAACTATAAATATTTATTAACTAGTGTGTGTACAGAACTAGAGAAAAATAGTATAAATTGAACCATTAACGAGAACTAAACAAGTTTGATCACATTGTATGATGGGAAAAGACACTATTACTGAATGGGATACACATTAAAAAAGCCCTGTTAATAAATAGTATAGCTGGAAAATCCTTTCTCTGGAACCCGTAAAACGACAGAAATCTAGGGGTGAGATTTTATTTTTAAGAAAAAACATGTGAAGAGAATTAGATACAGAAATGAATAATATTGTGGTGACATGGAATGAATTGCTGAAAACGGAAAAGGGGGGGGGGGGGTATAAAAGGGATGCTTAATGTAACAAGTTTTAATTTGAGATAAAAGAAGAAGAGAAACTAAACCATACATATTATTGTATGTAGATAGGACTGTAATCATCAAGTGCATTTGCTACTCTTGTCATATGAAAGACTTAACACCATATTAATAAATATGTCAATTCTCATTTTTGTAGCAATTAATTCACTAGCACAAAATGTGCCTGAAGTGGCTGTACAGGGTGAGTGAACTATCTCAAGTTCACCAGTTTGTTTTTGTAGAACCCTGGTATTGCGAACGTTATTTACCTTTGGGCAGTTTTCATGTTGATGTTTGGTTTCGTTTATTAACAGTTTGTATTGGGTATTAAATTCATATGTTGAAATTAAACTAAATACACCTAAACATTTGTTTAAGTTGATCAAAGTTAAAATCACCAAACAGATCTAGTGCGGAACTGTTAGCATTGAAGTGTGGAGGGGGGGGGGAGGTTGCCTCATTAAACAGACGAAGAAGTTTCCCCCATTTGAGCCAGAACATTTTTGTAGAGAGAACTTGCTGTGAAACTTGTTTAAGTAATGAAATTGCAGTTTGGCTAGAAAAGCATCAGAAAAAAATCAACAGTCACCGTAAAGAGACAACTATGAGAAATAATAGCTACTATAACTGGCCAGTAACATTATGCAGCTGTGAAATATTAAAACCTGAAACAAAATGCTTCAAAAAAAAAGATGAAAAGAACTTATTAAATATCTATGGTCTTTAGTGGACGATAACTTGATGAGAAACAGCTCAGAGTTTTAAAAAAACAAATTTGTTTAGCATTTGCTGCAAAAGAGAAGAGCATTTGGCATGTTTTGGCTTCTATCTAGGCTATCTGTGCCTTTAGACCCAACACATCTGATTTCAGCACACTGCAGATCAGTCACCTTTTATGACTTGCTTGTTAGGGTTTTTTCTTTATCCAAAACTCATGTGGGTATGGTTGAAATAAACAGTGTCAAATGTTGGACACAGTCTGGCCAAACAATACTTGAGGACCCACTGTTGCTTTATGCCAGATGACCTTTGTGGAAAACATCCAGATGATTTATGTTAGGGTAGAACATCTGTGCTTACAAACTGACAAAAAATATGGTTGTGAATCATGACATTTTGGTTGTTTTGTAGGCGATCAGTGCAGTTGCTACTGTCATAATGATCTGTCTTTGTTTATTTTTATGTTTTTCATTGTGTAGCATGCACTCCATCAAATCATTAGGCTCTGTTTAACCCTTTCACCCCATAAAGACTTTAAACATGAAATTTTTTAAAATTTTAATCACATAATTGCATCCTCATAATTCTCTGGAACTCTACTCTAAGAAACTACGGGAAGAGAAGAAGAAGCAATAGAAATCTCGAGTCTGGGTTTTCAGGGTGTGGAGCCACTAGACCACTGAGTAGACAGGAAAATATGAAGGCCGCTGATAATCGCAGCTGTCAAATTGCCAAGTAAAAGTGATTAACAACAAATTTCAATCATAATTCACAAATGCCAGAAAGAAAAATTTAGACGAAGGGAAGTAATCACTAAATACAAAATAAACATAGAATTAACTGCTTTCCTGCCATATGACCATAATACACTTTTTGACTTAACACTGTCTAGCAAAGTAATGTGATTACAAGATTGTTATGAAGTGACAATGACATCACAGTTTTCACAATTTTTTTTATCCCAGATAAAATCTCACGTCATTGTGTTTAAGGCATTTAGTCATACCCACCGTGTATACGCAGTATGCAGTTGCCAGTATCAAAGCTGTTATATACGTGAAAAGACCACTGCCCAAAGACTTTGTGTCTGCAAACACCCGTCATTGCTCGAAAGGGCTTTATCAGGCAGCAGGCTTAAGCTTTGATTTCTAAGTTCCTGATCCCTTAGTGGGTTTGGAGACTTGAATTTTTGGTGGAGGAAGGGGGAATTGACGCATCATCCTCATAAAAGACATGTCATGAAAAGCAACTAATTAAGGATTTCAGTAAATAAGAAGTTTTTTTTTGCCAGAAAGCTCAGATATCACATCCCAGCTGTAAACCACAACAAAACATTTCAACACTTTTAAGGGTGAATGCAGAAGAAAAAGAAAGTTCCAGTCTGTCACAACTGATAAACAGTTAATTTAAAACAACAAATGCTAATTTTTCTTGTCTTTTTGTTGATACAGCCCGTGAACTGGCAGAGGATGCGATTGCTGATGAAGTTACCCGCAGAGCTCGTGACGGTTTTAAAAGTGACTGATCTGCCTACTGAGTTTTCTGGCAAGCTGGATACATGCCAGGTTTTTGTGAACTGCACAAGTGTGTCATAAAATATTCCTGAGGAAGTTTTTAATTACAAGCTGGTTTCAAGTTGAAGTCAAGTCATCAGTGCAGACACAGTACCCTTTATTTAATGAAGAATCTCTATCTTTTCTTGTTTTTGTTTCTAAATATACATTTGGGATATTCCTTTTTCATTTGTTAATTGATGCTTTCAATACATTATATGTGTTTATAGGTGTTTTGTGTATATGCAGTTTACCCAGCTTTTATGTCAGGCAAAATTAGCAATCTGAGACTGAACATGGTCTGTATCTGTTATACATCATTGGCACTACGCCAAAGCAACTGAAGTGGAAAGTCCTTGTTTCGAGCAGTTTGCGTTTTAATTTGACAAAGTGGCAAATGAAAATTGTGTAGTTACGTAAGCACGAAGCAGGACCTCACATCTCCCTCAACAATTGAGCGGTACAAGAGGATGTAAAGAAGCAGAAAGAAGTAGTAGTAGTTACATAAAAAGCAATACTTATTTTTACCTGTTTGAGTTGCACATGCATGACTTTGATATAGTGCCAACAATATAATGCTGTGTCTGTTGCATTTATTGTGGTATTCTAGCTGTGTAAATGCCATAAAGAGCATTAAACAAACAAGTCATCTTTTAAATAGATATAGCATTATTGTGAATTTGATCTCATTCAAATTATATAAGTGTTTGATTCTCCTAAAATGTAACTAGGGTATATACGATCAGAAATGCTAAAAGAAGCTGGAACGGAACCAGCGTAAAACTACATCAGGGGATAAAGTTACTTCAAGAGAAAACTGATAAAATGGTTCAGACATGTGTCAGGATAATGCTTCACACACAAAAAACTTGTCACTTAGACACAACGGAAGCAGAGCTAGAGGCACAACAGAAGAAAGCCTAGAGGTAGGCCAGAAACATGATGGATAGATGGAACATCTAAAGCGTTGAATGCCAGAATTTGTGTGGCTCACACCAGATACCTTTTTAAAATAGGATTACAGAACAGAAGAAGTTGGTTCCTTATTGCCATCCCAATATTTACCTGCTCAAAACTACATGTTGAAATGCATTTGTGGTTAAACATGGCCCCACTTTTTATTTCTTTTGGATTTAGGATGAGCAAGAATATAAATAGTTCAGATCAGATCTCGCACCCGTGTTTGAGTGGCTTTCCACCAGTACCATTGTGCATTCACAATCCACCGTGAACATTTTGAATTGTTGATTATTTTTGTAATTGCTGTGTGCTTATATATCCCATTGTGACCCTTATTCCTGTTTACCTGCAGTCATTACCAATTGCAATATTGTCATTTCTGATAAAAATATAAATATATATATTTACAAGCACACACATAGAGAGAGAGAGATAAAGAGAATTCATTACAGTGGTACCTCGAGTCACATACTTAATTCTTTGACTCCATTGGTGAACCAGAAGAAATGTTTCCATAGTACAGAATTATAATCATTCAGTTAGTCACTGTGTTTGTATTTCATACATCATCCTTCTTTCTTCATTTAAACATTTTATTTAATACTTCTTCCTTGCCTGTTTATGGTAACTTCTGTTAGTTTCATTATCTTGGCTTGTGGTATTGTCACCTTTTCAGTTATAACATTTTTGTTTTGTTTTATGGTCACACATTTAAAGTCAATATAAACTATTGCTAATATGTATATGGTGTGTTGGGACATACATTATTCAGATTGTGCACATTGCATGCTTTCGTTGTAACTTTTTGGCAACACCAATTACCATGCTATCAATTACCAGGCAAGCTCTGTGCTGCGAGCGAGAATCTCCTATAATTCTTGTATGAAAGATGCTGTGAAATGTTTACTAATAAGTAATTGTTAATGATCAGATTTGTCATACTCTTCTTTTTTTTTTTTTTTTTAAATAGCTCTTTTATACTAACTATTCTTGTTTCAGAAAAGTTTGTTAACCTACGCTGTTTATCTGTTATTAACTTTTTCAGGACCACATTTTTTTCTGGGGATTTGGACAGCATTAATTTTTAGCGCAATGTTTTTTACTGCAACATGACAAAGGAAACCTTCATGAAGAAAAAATATTGGCTGTATAGAGACATATAATATATAAAATTAAAGAGAAAAGTGTTCAGAATAAATCTAAACTATTTAAGTGTCAGTATTACAACAAAATTTTACTAAAATCACACGACATTCAAGGATGTTAAGACACATGAAGATTATTTACACAAAAGATGTGCTAACATTATTTTTTACTTGTTCAGCAATACTGCTATCCATTTCTAAGAATTCACATGCCTTCTCTGTTCAATTATGTATCAGCCAGTCTTTATTTGAAACAATTATTTTAAATACTTTGGATGTTATGACCATTTTTTTTGTCAGATTTCACAACTGAAATTGGGAAAACAGTTGATGGAAACATAGGTGAGCCGACTGAAATATTTTGTCGTCATTCAAACCTACATTATCGCCAATAGGTTTGTCACTAGGCATTATCAATCATAATATCTAGACTGTTGTCACTGTCTGGCTGAGATTCATCAGTGACTTTGCAATGACCTTTGTCCTTATCATTTGGTCTTGAATAAATCACATAAAAATTGTATCACATGTAATTAATCTAAAACTAATCAGAAAGTTACGCAAACAGCACGCTGAACCTTAAACACAAAAGTACTTCCTGTCGTTAATTCTATTTTTTGTTTTTTCAAAACGTGTTCATACTAATTCATTTCCTCATCCATCAAACAAACAATATTAGAGTGTCTCTTTCTCTGTTTTTAGTGGCTAAAAGTCTGAATGGGGTGTATTCCAAAAGCCACTTAAGTGGTCAATAGTCCGTAAAGAGTTAATTAATTCATCTCAGAATTTAATAAAGATTCTCATTCTTTACCATTTCAAATTATTTTTTTTTTTTTGTTATGCAAAGACAATACGGGGAGATATATATATATATGTATCCCTGTGTGTGTTATTATTTAGCTCAGATTTAATACAAGATACCCCAAATGGTTCCTGAGTCTATTTTTGTGTGTGTATGTGGAAAATAGACCCCCCTGTTCCTTAGCAAGCTTGTTATAAAAGACAACTAAATGAAGATTTACTGAAGTCAAATTGTTCGGCCAAAAGGGACAGATATTGAAGCTGGCTGTAAACCGCAGTACAACATGCCAGTCACCTTTTTAAGGTTAAACACAGAATGAAAGTTATTTATTTGGTTGACGATGCTGGATTGTCTTCACTTTCTATGATCTGTGATCATGCCACATTTCAGTTCTGTAGGATGAGACAAGTGGCAGGCATTACATAACAGAAAGTGACAGAAAACAACAATACTTGAGGATACAGAATGAACTTCAGAGTGTATGTAAAATTAACAAAACATAATCCGAAGCAGCTAAGTCGGCTTTTGAAATAATGTCAGTAGCAGTATCTTTTATTGTTCTATTTCAGTCAAGTGTTTTGTTTTTCTGTTATCTAAACAATGCTTTTGCCTGTTTAAATAACAATCTTATAATTATTAACTACATTAGCTGATGGTGACAACACACAAGTGTCAATTCAAGCAGAGGGGAAATATAGCTACAGTTCTTACCAAATTTGAAAAACAGTTTCCCAGAAACTGAAGAAATATAAGGTAAAACTAAAGATACACCTTTAGCTGGAAAATTTATAGATCTAATTTTCTGCTGCATGTTACTTAATTCGGTATTTAATGATTTAAAAGGTATCTGTAAAAGTTAACTTTATGAAGTATCTAATTTTAATTGAACAATATATAGCTTATAAAACTGTATTCTATGTTTGTGAATAAGGCCGTGTTTTTGTATTTTCCATAAATATATATAAGTTGTGTTTTGCTTACTATACCTATGCATTATTTTTATTTTTATTTCTCCCAGTAATGGCTGATAGTTTTATCAATAAACAAATGACAAAATATAAATTATGTTCCTCAAAAGATTAACTCTTTACATGATTTCCTCAAGCTTGATATTTCAACCGAAAGGTTCAAATTTTGTAGTGTAAAAAAAAACAAAAAAATGTGGGCGGCTGAAGAACGGAAAAAGAAATAAGTTGTTTGTGACATTTTCTTTATTTAAGTAAATGCCTGTAAACAATCTAAATTATGAATTAATTTTTACATAGTTTTTGCCAAATTGTAATATCAGTCGATAAGCTTGTAAAATGCCTTTAGATTGCATAATTCCATGAGATTTCAGCATATTATTATACTTGCAGATTAGGCATATTGGGCATATATAGGGCTAGACCTGTATGTTTTCGTATACTAATCTGCACTCATTGGGTGATGTGGTCAGTTTCACTCCGTCCGGCTGCCTTTACTTTACAGGACATTACCTGCTACTCATTTTAAGCCGGATCAAGATGGGAGCCAAAGTCAGTTTTGATCAAATATCTGCCACAATGCAGATTCGAACCGTAGACCTTTCAGACTGACAGGCGGGCATCTAGCGGGTGTGCACCTGGGGCTCTCAAGCATAGTAGTTCACACTTTTTTGTATAGGTTCGGTCACTAACGTTTCAGTTAGTCATGTTCAGCTTTTTCTTTGCTTTTTTCAAGTGTGCAATAATACATAGTGAGTAATGACTTATAAGTACCATGACACAGTAGTTACTTCTTTATTATCTTTTATTGTCTTATGCATAATACTTTGTTTATTATCGCTCTCTGAGGAAGTTATCTCTGCCTCCTAATCCTAAATCTTCACCCTCAAAGACATCACCCTTTTCCTAGCTACACTGAAAGTGTGAACTTAAATACAGGCAGTAGTGGCTGGCCGAATGGTCAAGAGCACTAGGCTGTCATCTGGGAGACCCATGTTTGAATTCTCTGTAAGGTTATAGGTTTAGTCTGTGGGGGTCCTAACAGCGCAGTCCATGGCAAATGCACTGACCATGTTCAACATTCTTAGGTTCAAAATGCT